AAAGAGATGGGTTCACAGGTTTGATATTAATTTTTAAAGGTTCCAGGGGAATACATCTATCCTAAGGTTCCAGGGGAATACATCTATACCTCTTAAGATTGCTGTTGATCAACTTGGATGGCCATATGAACAATGTTTTCATAAAGACGGAAACTGGTCGATGGTACTGACAAGAAACTTCAAATCTGACTGCAACTTTTCCATCCGGGATCTAATTTCAGCAACCCTTGATGAAGTCGAATCCACTGGTGACGCTATCTCTGGAACTGGATCACTCGGAGAAACCATGGGAGTACCAGTACTGTTGGAATTCTGACCTTTGAGTTCAGCAATCCTGGCCTTGGCCTCCATGATTTTTTTGTGCAATCCAAACACACATTCCTGCTCATCAACAGGAAGGGCTTCTGGAACCCACATATCATTCTCAAGCAAGCCCGAGTTCCCACCCACAGATTCAGCCAGAGCTGGCACAACCGGGGTTGTAGTAGGTGAAGGAATTGGCACCTGACGAACCCGATCACGTAGATCACACTCCTTAGATTCGCCCTTCTCATCCTCGCTGTCGTCAGGAGCTGACTTGTCCGCGGGGAGGTCTAAATAGAGTTCCTGAGAGGCGGAGTTGCGCGGCCAAGGCCGGTGGGAATTGATAGCAAACACTCCAACATATTGCAACAACTGTATACATGCATGTAATGTAGGGTTCCAAATATATTGAAATGATTCCCATAAAATCTATATATCAACCTCAGCCTGCAGTCAAATTCATTGGTTTCACCGGTTTCACCTTTACCATTTGAAAGTGTGCTGGCCCGATGAACCATGGACAATGTGCCGGGTGCAAAAAAGGCTCCAACTCGCCAAAGTGGGTCAAGAGCTCTCTGAAGTCTGCGTCCTCCAGGGGTAGCTATGGGGCATATATGATCCAAGGGATCTGAACCATATTGTGGATGGAAGAAATCTTGCACCGGATGATAGATGGTTTATCCAATATAGTCCCATTGCAGTTATAGTTATAAGTGTTACCACTATACATGGGCACGAAGCGGTGCAGGTGCAGGATTTCTTCCATCCATCATATGCAAATTGGAATGGAAGAAAATACATACTGTGGTTCCGGGAAAGACCTGGAAATTATGATCTGATTTGAACTGCATGATTGATAATCACATAAAAAAATGGAAACATGCATGAAGAAAGGAACCCTTGTCCCGTGGCATGTGAGGACGAATGTACTTGGCTCGCACATATGACACCAGCTTCTTAATGCTAATCACCGACAAATGAACCGGCACTTCCAACTCTTCAGGGATTGGAGGAAGGTTGTGGGCATCAAATCCCTGCTTGGTAGACAGCAGCTGGAGAATCCAAACTTGGTCTTGAATCGTCCCCATATCAGGTGTCTTGATCAGGTGGTGGTATCGCATATTCTCCATGATTGGGATCAAGACTTCTCTGTTCCACAAGGCATGACGTACATCTTTGGATGCAAGGGGCTGGGTATTGTTGGTTACAACAATGGCACCAATGCCGCCCTCTTTCACCCTCTCTTGGATGGAAGGCTCCATCCACCAATGCTTAGCAACACCATAAAGGTTCGCCATAGCAAGGCAGCAAAACGTTTTTTTTTTTGAGCCGGTTTGCTCTGAAGGGAACGCCCAAAAGCTTCCAGCAAAAGCCAACTGTACTTGCAAGATAGAATTCATGGCAAGAAATCAAATCAAACTTATTTCGTTTTTCGATGCCCCCCCCCACGTAATCAGAGCGGGCCTCAACGTGCTCAGCAGCGATGCAATCATCCCAATCAGGACGCATGGTTTCTATGCACATATTTCAAGAGACCCTGTTGGGAATCTATAATATATATTCTATGCCACATAATATATTCTATGGCACCCATCATATATTTCTTCCATTCTCGATTTGGGGTGCATGGTCACATGCATCTTCCCCTTTTTTATTTCACATCATTCACATCCATGCTGTGAGCCTTGGATGCAAGGATCGGGCGCACCTCCAATAGCAATATCGTGAATTGACCAAATTATCTGGTCATTACGGGTAAAATTGTTCATTGATCATTAAAAGGTGTATTCGACCAGATTTTCCCATAATGAACAAAAAAATTTGTTCAAACGGCTTTCCAGGAACCTCAGCCTGCAGTCAAATTCATTGGTTTCACCGGTTTCACCTTTACCATTTGAAAGTGTGCTGGCCCGATGAACCATGGACAATGTGCCGGGTGCAAAAAAGGCTCCAACTCGCCAAAGTGGGTCAAGAGCTCTCTGAAGTCTGCGTCCTCCAGGGGTAGCTATGGGGCATATATGATCCAAGGGATCTGAACCATATTGTGGATGGAAGAAATCTTGCACCGGATGATAGATGGTTTATCCAATATAGTCCCATTGCAGTTATAGTTATAAGTGTTACCACTATACATGGGCACGAAGCGGTGCAGGTGCAGGATTTCTTCCATCCATCATATGCAAATTGGAATGGAAGAAAATACATACTGTGGTTCCGGGAAAGACCTGGAAATTATGATCTGATTTGAACTGCATGATTGATAATCACATAAAAAAATGGAAACATGCATGAAGAAAGGAACCCTTGTCCCGTGGCATGTGAGGACGAATGTACTTGGCTCGCACATATGACACCAGCTTCTTAATGCTAATCACCGACAAATGAACCGGCACTTCCAACTCTTCAGGGATTGGAGGAAGGTTGTGGGCATCAAATCCCTGCTTGGTAGACAGCAGCTGGAGAATCCAAACTTGGTCTTGAATCGTCCCCATATCAGGTGTCTTGATCAGGTGGTGGTATCGCATATTCTCCATGATTGGGATCAAGACTTCTCTGTTCCACAAGGCATGACGTACATCTTTGGATGCAAGGGGCTGGGTATTGTTGGTTACAACAATGGCACCAATGCCGCCCTCTTTCACCCTCTCTTGGATGGAAGGCTCCATCCACCAATGCTTAGCAACACCATAAAGGTTCGCCATAGCAAGGCAGCAAAACGTTTTTTTTTTTTGAGCCGGTTTGCTCTGAAGGGAACGCCCAAAAGCTTCCAGCAAAAGCCAACTGTACTTGCAAGATAGAATTCATGGCAAGAAATCAAATCAAACTTATTTCGTTTTTCGATGCCCCCCCCCCACGTAATCAGAGCGGGCCTCAACGTGCTCAGCAGCGATGCAATCATCCCAATCAGGACGCATGGTTTCTATGCACATATTTCAAGAGACCCTGTTGGGAATCTATAATATATAGTCTATGCCACATAATATATTCTATGGCACCCATCATATATTTCTTCCATTCTCGATTTGGGGTGCATGGTCACATGCATCTTCCCCTTTTTTATTTCACATCATTCACATCCATACTGTGAGCCTTGGATGCAAGGATCGGGCGCACCTCCAATAGCAATATCGTGAATTGACCAAATTATCTGGTCATTGCGGGTAAAATTGTTCATTGATCATTAAAAGGTGTATTCGACCAGATTTTCCCATGATGAACAAATTTTTTTGTTCAAACGGCTTTCCAGGTATATATATATAAGTATATATATATGTATATAAGTATAAATATATATATATAATATAGAGAGGGAGAGTGAAGTTAGAGAGTGATGCCAAGAAATGGATCGGATTTCACTCAGAACCAGTCACTTTTCTCTTGTGAAACTGATGCTCTTCAAAGAAATGATTTTGGGTGCGTTTGCTTGAACATGGGGTCTGCTCCAAATGGCCAGACTAGTTGGAGCACGGCCTTTAGAATGCCGTGCTGTTTCGTGCACATCGGGGGTTTGGGGTGGGGTGGGGTGGGGTGGGGCATGTATTAACGTTCATTTGAACTTGCGGAGGAAGTACATTCTTCTCGGTGGATTCTAATAAGTAGATTGATGCACGGGGTGGGGTGGGGTGGGGTGGGGTGGGGCATGTATTAACATTCAGGCTACGTCATGCTATGCTCGTGTAAGTTCTCTGGTACTTTTCGAGGATACGTCATGCTACGCTCCTGTAAGTCCTCTGGTACTTTTCAAGGATACGTCATGCTACGCTCGTATACGCTCGTGTTAGTTCTCTGGTACTTTTCAAGGATACGTCATGCTACGCTCGTGTAAGTTCTCTGGTACTTTTAACTGATACGTCATGCTACGCTCGTGTAAGTTCTCTGGTGCTTTTCAAGGATACGTCATGCTACGCTCGTGAAAGTTCTCTGGTACTTTTAACTGATACGTCATGCTACGCTCGTGAAAGTTCTCTGGTACTTTTCAAGGATACGTCATGCTACACTCGTGTTAGTCCTCTGGTACTTTTCAAGGATACATCATGCTACGCTCGTGTAAGTTCTCTGGTGCTTTTCACTGATACGTTATGCTATGCTCGTGTAAGTTCTCTGGACTTGTCCACGTATAGAGAAAAGATATTTACCTGCTCACATGGTCTTGAAACACAAAGACCGTGGGCATTCAACGATGCACCCGTCAGTAACACAATATGTGTTCATGTGGTGCTGGCGCTGCACCTTGGACACTCCAGATCCCCAACGGTTCCTGGAAGAACTCGAACAGTTGCTGTGAGAAAAAAACAGCAGATGTCAGCTGGAATCTTGGGCAAAGTGTCAACAACACAAAAAAATGTGGTTTCGCCTAGGCGAAATGATTGTTTTTGATTTTATGAACCAGAATAAGGGGTTTCTGGCCTTTAAAATCATATCACACCACTACAGGTCGAATTAGTTGGGGAGTTCTGAGAAACATCAAAAATGATAGTTTCGCCTAGGCGAAATGCTTGTTTTTGATTTTATGCACCAGAATAAGGGGTTTCTGGCCTTTAAAATCACATCAAACAAAATCCTATTGGCAAACGTCATCCATGACACCCCGTCCTTCTAAAGGCCGTGTTCCTAGTTTAATAGGGAAAATGATGATTAGTCAGTAGATGTGTTTTTTTCACCCAAAAAATGTTCAGGTTTCAAACCCATTGCACTCATCAGCTTGTCATCGCCAAGGGACAGTTCTGACCTGCTTCCAAAGTTTGATGGTAGTCAAACCAGCATGCATGCGCGTCCACAGCTGCCTTCATCCTGTTCCAAAATTTCAGAAAAGGATGGCCGTTCTGGTGAACCGATCTGTGCCAACAATATGACATTTCATATGGGATTTATATATATATATATATTATATATATACATATATGGGGATATTCGATATTCAGCTGCAAACACTTATCTTTTGTGGTCGGATCTACATTAATTTGGATTTGACAACTGGTACTGTATTTGTGAGACTTATGATATCTTATTATTGTACTTGTTGATAGGAGTTGCGATTGGGTTTGACTAAAGCTGACGGGTTTCCCACCAACATCCAAAATCCAGTGCTCTAGGACGTTGGATTCTTGTCACCACATATTCGCGAAAAAAAGTTGTGTGATATTTCCTTAAAACATCTTAAAACATTGGCTTCAAACCAAGAAAAGAGAGCTGCAGAGCGGTGTTTCCGTCCTAAACAGCTTCTCTCTTGGCATCGACAGCAGGTAGTGGTAAAGTCCCATGTCCACATCTGCCATGGGCCACTTGATGGAAAAGTCTTCCCAGTTGATGTCTCCTTGAAAGGGAACACCAAAGCTATCGCCTCGGTGGCTGGTGGCCTGACAAACAAAACCAGCATCAAATTGATACCATGTACCCGGCCTGGTAACAAAAAACATCTGGTTAAAATCACCATGCTATAAACATGGGAAAATATGGAAAATTCACCAACTAAATGGTGATTTTCCATAGTTATATGTTAAATTACCAGAGGGTATCATCAATAGGATCAATGGGTCTCCACAATGATCCCCACAATGATCCATTGGAACTTGATCATCTTGATCTGCTGCAGTTTGAAACAAATCACCATCCTCACATCCCAGACAAATGAAGGTAAAACACTGGAAAAAACACGGGTTTCCTGCTACTTCCTCTAAATGTTCACTTAAACAAACCCAATGAAAGCCTACAGGGTGGTGCCCCGGATGCTTTAAAACCTCTTTTAACGATAAATTCATGATAAATCCAAGTGATCTTACAAACCAACGCATGACTAGATCCGAAAAATAAAGTCAATCGGATCATGATCTTAATCCGATGGATTTTAGTTTAGTGATACATTTTCGTGATGCTATAGCTCCCACAATAGCTCCAGCCAACATCCGATGCCACCGTTGTGATCTCCTGCTTCCACGGCGCTGAGGATCACGGGGATGCAGCCTGCGAAGAAGGACTCGTAGAGATGATTCGTCCACGAGGACGTTCCCATCGGCACGAGGCAAAAATGCGAAGCACCTGGGGATGGATGGGAAAAACATGGGAAAACACATGGGTTTCTAATGGGGTACCCTCTGGTAATTGAACATAGCTATTGAAATTTGCCATTTATAGTGGATTTTCCCATGAAAAATATTGAAAAATGGTGATTTTCCATAGTTATGTTAGTTTACCAGAGGGTAAACACATGCTGAGGCCATAGAAACCATGGGAAACCTGAAACAAACCTGAGTGAAACCAAGAGATACATCAGATAGCCTCACAAAATGATGACAATGGAAGGAGATTCGCAGGAAAACCGAAAGGTAGCTTTGGTGCATGTGCATATATACTCAAATGTGATCAAATGTGCATCTCCAAATGCAACCAGAAACACGCGAGTTGTTTGCCCATAATATGCCTTCAGAATCCGCACAGAGAATTTTAAACCAGCGGAATCTTGAAAGGTATTTGCAATGATGAGCAGCCAACAATCGGAAATACTGTTCAGTGCAATGTCTTGCTGAAATCGGAAACTCCCTTCCCAAAATGACCCAACATGATTTAGGAATGCATAATAATAAATATAGAACGATCATGAACGATCGTCGTAGTTGTCCGGGTGAGAGGTTTTGATACACTTGCTACATTTTCACATAGTTGAACACTACAAATCCAATGAATGCCATCTGTATGCACTGAACAGCATATTTGTCATTGATGTTCATGTCGGGGACAAAACAAAACATAGACCTGCATAAACATAATCAATCATACTCATATAATTATTCATAATCATCAACCAACCTCAGTAGTCCATTTACCCTCTGGTTATGACTAACATAGCCATGGTATAGATGGCCCATAGAAATAGATGCTTTACCTGTGATTTTCCCCCTTACATTATTACATCCGCCAGAGAGCGACCTCTTTCTGAGGGCCGTGCATCTCGTGCCAAGTGACCCATGATTTCAAAGTAGCCCTCTACGAAACCACCCACACTGACACCATGAACTCCTCCGCAGTGAGGAAATTCTCATTTTAAAAAAATCTACGGCAAAAGGATTCAAATAATATAATGATTATATAGTGATTATAAGAATCTGTGGCATTATGAGGAAATTATGTGAGGAAATTCTGATAAAGCCATCCCCAATGATATAGTGCTATATTATCACATAATATATATATACACTGGTTGGTGGTTTCAATCCCTCTGAAAAATATTAGGTAAAATGGAATTATTGTTCCCAATATGGAAATGGAAACATAAAAAATGTTCCAAACCACCAACCAGTATATATATAATATGCGATATTATCTATATTATATATGCCAGAATCAACATGTCAATATCTGGTTACGATCTCCAAAACCAGCCAGAACAAACAAAAAACAAACACACAGCGGCGGCCCAGCAGTTCTCCGTGCCGCTCCTGTGAAGGTGTCGATGATCTTCCCGCGGACGACGTTGTCCTTGTAGTACGATGGACCAAAGCCAGGATGTCTGCCGTGAAAGTTGAACAGCAGGTCACGTTGATGCGATGGGAGATTCACCTGGAGATGGAAAGAGGTACATCAAATCTGGGGTAAATCTGTGCCCCCAAATACCACCCAAGAATGGGACATGTACTAAAACTCTGGGGCAAAAACATGATTTTTGTGTGGGTACTTCGAGGGTCTAGGTGGATACAATCTGTAAAGTCATCAATTACAGTAGCCCAACTCCTGGTTCTGAGTTCTAGTACAAGACACCCATGGGTACTGGCGACAGACTCGTCTAGTCCTGCATCTTTCATTCCTTAAATCACTTAGATGTGCATCCTATACTTAGTAGGTGGGTATAATACCCTCTGGTAAACTAACATAACTATGGCATAACTATGGAAAATCACCACACTTTTCATGGGGAAATCAACTATATGTCTAATGGGCCATGTTCAAGTTCGCAAACTGTAAACGTTTACCAGGCCGTTTTCTAAGCATACTGTCACCCAAATATACACGGGATATGCCTCACGCATTCTGCGAAAGCGGTAGTAGTCAGGATGGCCTGCCAACATCAGACAGATGCAATAGCCGATGCAATTTATATCTCTACATGAATGGTATATTAATGGGATATGGTATATTTATATATTAATGGGATATATTAATTGTATAATGGTACATCAATATTGTATATTGATACCTAATATATTTCAAATGGTATATTAATGGGATTTGTATAATGGGGTATCTATATATAACAAACAACAATATTATGAATATAGGTTAATATAGGTCAGGTGTGTCTGAATGAAATATTTACCCCAACAATGGGAACATGACCATCAAATTGTCGGGTACCCTATTTTCAGACAATCCCATATTATATTGACAGGCACTCCGGCACTCTAAAGGTGTCTAAAACGGTGGAACAAAACAACTTCATCTGGGTAGTCCAAATGGGACACACTTGACGTTGGCAAATGGAACACGTTGCGGCTGAGATGAGAAGAGATGGGGATGCCACGGACCAACCAGGATTGGCTTTAGCTGATTAGCAAGATGTATGGTGGGTCACTATCCTGAAGCTGGATCAGCATACCACATACTTGCTTTATGGAAAGCACTGAGGTGTCAGAACCGGTATCTAGTCCACTGTGTCCCTCAAACATACGTATTCCAAGAAAGCGCTTTGGCAAATCAGCAGTAGCCATGAATGTGAAGTGTACTCCAACAATTAGATGGTCGGTTTTGAACATGACCAAACAGATCCAAACAGTATCAAAAGTATTCAAAAGTCACAAATGGCAGGTCTTCAAAACAATGACCCATACACCACAAAGTTGTTGGTGATATACAAATATATATTATATATAATATGTATATATATATAGTATGTATATATATATATTAATTAATTAACAGGTATAATATATAGTCCTGGTGATATCCCCAGTGAAGCCATGGCCTGGTACCACCACATCCTTCCAGGGATTGAAGCAGCTTGGACCGCAGCTAGGAGTTAAGGCCTGTGGATGGAAAAACTGGAGGCCAGGACAAGATCTGCAGCAAATTTCTATGCAATAGATTATAATATATAAAAATAGATTCATGAATGTCATGTCTATAATGTTTTTTTCCAACCCACACATGTAAAAAAATGTGGTATATGGCATAGGCTTAGGCATTCTTACTCTTCAGAGGGGAATTTTTTATGGCGCCTCTGTCGTGAGGAAAACCGAGTGACTGATGTGATCACGCCACTCCTGACCAGCGTCGTCCAGGCGGTGAAGCCAGGGGGAATGGCAGTGGTTTATCCAAGAATCGGTGCTGCAAGGCCACAAAGAAAAAACTGACCTATTTGTTTTGGGAAAACTCACCTGTTCTGTTGGCAACGTGTGGGTTGAATCTCTGACAGGCTTGACAAGGAGATTAGCAATGGTCCTCCAGCCCCTACTAAGTTGTAAATCAGTTATGAATTTATAAGTATATATATATATATAATATATATTATATATATATATATAGGAATTACCACATGTTGTTTTGTCACCACCTTCACGAGTAAATAGGAATGGCCTTCCAAAACCATTATTGTATCATACTGTATCCCATTCAACTGCAGATATGATTGACCAAAAATCCAAGAAATATTCCAAAACAAAATCAATTGCATCAATTTGTGTTGCTCATGCGGGCTCTGTAAACCATCTTTGCCGGGTTAACCCTATATGTTCATTGCTGAGGCAACAGCAACATTGCTGTTGTCCCACGGGAGGCAAGCCGTTGGGCCCCGCTCCGGGAAGAAGTTGAGTCCCTGATCCGAGAAGATGAAGATGTGATCCCTTCCAAGCTGTCGGGACCAGTGGGGCAGTAGCTCCTCCTGGCGATTTGGTGATCCATGGTTGATAACCACTGGATTGATTTGAGGCTTAAACAAATGGTGGCTTCATCATCATCATCATCATCATCATTTATTGGGTGTTTAGCAATGTTTAGCCATCACAACTATCGGGATATCATTGATAACTAATGCTTGATGGATGATTGTAGGTTGCATTGTCCAACATTTATTGGGAAATATCATCATCTGTCATGGAAATGCCGTTCTTAACCAACGAGTATAATGGATCATGGCGTACATCTTTGGAAGAAGAACAGCTCCTGTGATGCGATGTGGTATCTTCAACCAATCCTCAACGAACTATCTCAAGGTGCCCGCGGCCGATATTTTTGAAAAAGGTTCCAAAGATTGTGGGATATCCAGGACTGGTTCAGCTGACATTGTCACGCGGACGGCGGTATCAAGTGCTCATCATGAAGCAATGATCATCGAAGTGCAAATTACGACTCCGCAAGAAGATGAAACACAGGCTGTTTGTACAGCTTGAGGAAATTCACACCTCCCTACGCGGCAACTTGAAAACGCCATCTGCCAGTCCTTGCGATGCATCAAATCCAAATAAACTGCTGAGATGTCTCCGATGGGTTCTCGAGACCTAGGGCGCCGGCGGTAAACCGACGGAAATTTGATGATTTCTTTTTAGGGGATATCATATATATATATATACCCTCTGGTTATGTGAGCATCAACAAATCGAAATCTAATGGGATTGAATAGGATTTTCTAGTGTTATCGTCTGGTTATTTCACGTACCTATGGAAAAAAATATGTTTTAAATGGGATACATCATCACAAATCATCTAAAATAAATAACCAAACGATATCAAAGCCTGTTGAGCATAGAACATGTTGTTCATCTGTAATACTAATATCACACTAATATCAAAAAATGAAGGTTTTATGGTCTAAGAAACTATGACCTTTGTCCATATGGACTGGAATTTCATATTGTCCAAAGGATTTCAGTCCTACGGAAAGTGAGGATCAGGTGCTTGGCAACCTGGCAACAAACCACTGGTCACAACTGTCACAACTGTCACAACCTGCCAAAGCTTGGAGCTTCACCAAGGCACTGGTTCATCCGGAAGATCATACGATCACACCAGGTGTGCCAGGGAACTAAGAAGTAGTCGGCCTCCTGGGCAAAAGATTCTGGAGATGGAAATCCATGGAATATGTTGAATATTCGGACATATCATCCAGAAATATCAAATCTGCTTGGTGGTTTTAACATGTACCATCTTGAAAGATATGAAAGTCAATGGGAAAGATTATCCCATATATTAATGGATAATAAAACATGTTTGAAACCACAAACCAGCAAATATAGAAGACATCTTAAGAGTCTATCTTGTTCTTAATTCAGATATGTTCAGCAGACTTCAGTCAGAAAGTCAAGAAAGTGAGCGCATCCGAAGTGGGAATGTCTCCGCAACGATCAGAGGCTCAGGACTCCTAAGTTTTAAAATCCAACTGTGTCTGGGAAAATAAATGAACATAGTATACTATCTGGGTTGTCGGTTGTCCTAAATGCTATGGGGGGAAATTATGAGCTCTTCAGTGTTCTCACAACAAACAGCTCGGTGCTGAAGCCTCCAAACCTTTGGAAGATGTTGTTCCACCAGGAGTGCTGCTGAAAAAATCTACTTCCGTTTGGAGTGTCATGTTCATCTCAATTTTATTAATGTTCAATATGTTCATTCTACTTCCGTATTACTTTTTCAAGTGCGGTTCCAGTGGCTTCCAACTCAGTTTGAACATCACATTAGCCATAGTTACCATAGTTCCGGCCCATCGCCCATCCCAACTGATGGGCTTTTTAGCAGCGCCTCGGGATTGGAGGTCACACACGTCCCAGCACGAAACCACCAGGGGATCAAAGCTTCCAAACCCCACTGGCCATGCTGACAATGCAGAACTCCTCGGACGCCAACGGATCCAACAAGATGCCGAAACGACAGACATGTGGAACACATCCTTTTTCACTACCCTGGAAACATTGTTTGGCATATTTTTTTTAATATTTTGAGGGTTGGCATATTAATATTATTGGACAGAAATATAGTCCATTCTCATTTATATCAACTGGATCTATATTATATTTGTCTACGTAATGTATGATGTCTTGGATGTATTATGCATTGAACTATATGCAAAAACTCCTGCGGGGCTGCATAGTTTTTTGCTGTATTCACTAAAACTGACATGCTAAAATCGTGTAAAATTCTGGAACATCCCGAAGTTAGAATGCGTGGAAAATTGTCTATGACAATCCCCGGTACAGAGCCGGTCGTTTTTAAACCCCCTAATTACAGTAGTGGCCCCGTCAATTCAATCAGTCATTCGGGGGTTGTCTGAAAATGGGCTACACCTTTTGTCATGAAATGTGCTGTACCTTTTCTGGCTCCGCGTCCCCGCGAGATCGTGCGATTCTCAGTGTTTTTGATATTTTTTGATTTTCCGAGTTCTTTCAACAAATCCAAGAATCCTCGTTCAGCATTTCCAGCGGGCGTCCAGTCAACCAACTCATAGATGAAGAAACGTAGCTGGCTGCCGTAACCTCACAACAAGAAGGGACCCTGAAGGGCAAACACCCAAAGGTTGCCCTGGCAGCCTTAAACCTCTAGATGCTGAAACCAGGGCCCCAGGGAATCATTGGTGGCTTCACAGGTCGGGCCATGTTTTCTTTGGATCCCCTCCTTTCAACATCCATCGCAGAACCAGCCACAGTTATGAGCATCAGAGAGCCCCAGCAATGAGGGATAAATGACCAAATCGTGCCTTGGATGAGCAGAAAAGCAGTAGATCCATCTCGGGAGAATGCCCAGTGCCCACGTGCCCACAGACCCGTAGCAAGAACAATAGTTCAGTTCTATAACCTCCCAACTCCCCTAGAGTAGTCATGGGGCCCAAAAAATAAATAGATCATAATAGATCCAATATGATCTTCAACGCAAAACCAGGCTTTTAGGACCATTTTTCCCCACCTGCCAGGTGAGGGTTGTTAGATTTTATGTCAGTTGCCTCCACCTCCTTCTCCTCCTCCTCCTCCGCCTCCTCCTGCCTCGTCCTCCTCTCCTCCTCCTCCTCGTCGTCCTCGTCGTCCTCGTCGTCCTTGCTCAACTGCGACCCGCGATCCGCAGTGTTCTCTGCCGGACCTCAACCACGACCATCCACGCCCAGTGTTCCCTGCCGGACCTCAACCACGACCATCCACGCCCAATGTTCCCTGCCGGACCTCAACCACGACCATCCACGCCCAATGTTCCCTGCCGGACCTCAACCACGACCATCCTCGCCCAGTGTTCCCTGCCGGACCTCAACCACGACCATCCTCGCCCAGTGTTCCCTGCCGGACCTCAACCGCGAGTATCCACGCCAAGTGTTCCCTGCCGGACCTCATGTAGGTAGATATGGGACAAAGAATGTGCAGAAGAAAGTTAGAAAGAATGTCAGAAAGAATGTCAGAAGATATGCCAGAAGATATGCCAGATAGAATGCCAGATAATATGCCAGAAGATATGCCAGATAGAATGCCAGATAGAATGCCAAAAGATTTGCCAGATAGAATGCCAGAAAATATGCCAGAAGATATGCCAGATAGATATGCCAGAAGATATGCCAGAAGATATGCCAGAAGATATGCCAGAAGATATGTCAGAATATATTCCAGAAGATATGTCAGATAGAATGCCAGAAGATATGTCAGAATATATGCCAGAAGATATGCCAGATAGAATGCCAGATTGAATGCCAGAAGATATGTCAGATAGAGTGCCAGAAGATATGCCAGATAGAATGCCAGAAGATTTGCCAGATAGAATGCCAGAAGATATGCCAGAAGATATGCCAGATAGAATGTCAAATAGAATGTCAGAAGATATGTCAGATAGAATGCCAGAAGATTTGCCAGTAAGAAAATGTATAAATGTCATGGTGGGGATCACACGAAGTAAAGCAATTTTCAACATCCCAACCCACATATTGGATAGCACCCAAAAAGCCACGCTTTAGGACTTGATCTATTCAATATCATCTAAGAAAAATCAACAAACTCCGAGAGCATACCCGTTGCCACTCAGAGATTATTTATCAACTTTGTGAAAGGATTCCTTTCATTTGTTGGAGGGACTTGAGGCATGCTTCAGAGGTATCTTCAAATCATCTTTGATATCATTGGGGGTTGAACGATTAGCATTGTCCTCGATTTGTACAATGTGTGTACCCGCTAAAGTTGGCAAAGGTCAAAAAACACCATGGATAATTACAAGGTAGGGGACCCTACATAGCCAAGTCGGATTCTACCTGGCTTCAGTATGGTTCATGTCAAATATATACAACTACTGTCTAAAGTTCATGGGGGTAACAAACCAACTTAGTTCGCTAGGGGTGCCAACTGGTATGATACCCAACTGTTCTAAGTACTCGGAGCATCTTGGTCCTCCAATGACTGCACCCCCACTTCAGAGAGGCACGTGTCAGGCCACCACTCAGCTTCTTTGGCCTCTTCCTGGTGATTCACAAGCACCAACATGGTGGGGATTTCTTCACTCTCCAATACAGTAAAACATGGTGGTCAGTGGTTCAACATGGTTTATGTAACCTTTAAACAAATTGAACTTAAAGGATAAATATAATTGGATAACATCATGTACTCTCCAGTAAATATAGACCTTGAACATGCATGAGAATAGCAGTTCTAAAAGTGGAAACAAATCTTCCAACCCCCTATTTTGGCAGGGTATATGCTAGTTGCATGGGATAGTATTGTGTATGGTTGGTGCAATGAGATGAGATGAGATGAGATGACATGATATGAGATGAGATGGGACAAGTATATACAGTAATCACCAATCAAATGATAGTGTTATATATATATATATTATACTGATGTATATGTAGATATGTATAGTGTATCGCAAAGCGGGAATCACATACTGTAAAATGACATAATTGCAACATTGCTCATAAATACACAAATCATGGAAGCACATATCACAAAGCAGTTGGGTGTTGTGGTGTGGGCCCAAAGTTGAGCAATTAACTCTAAATTGGATGCTTGGAAAGAGTCAAGAAGAAACATTGGCAGTGAATAGCTCATATCCAGTTCATATTCTAATCAAAGGTCAACGGCTGAAATTTCAATGCTTCGGGAATTCGGTTTTTGGTACAGTCCTCATGCGTATTGGTGAAATAATGTCAAATCCTCTATGTTTGGTGTTTATTTCACACATGTTGATGGCTAACTCCAGCCCCGAACTCCATCAGATTCTGGTGTTTGATGTTTGCATCCGTGGCTTTGCTATATTGAATAAGAAAAACATCGACTGTTTATTGTTGGCCCAATTCATCAGGGATAAATCATCATTTTTGTTTATTCACATATTGAAGATGGTGATGAACTCTATGTTTTACCTACCCATAGGATCAATGTATGCTATATATGGTAACATTTACCATCAATATACATATACCCCCAATGTTAGCATATATACCATACATGGATCCTATGGGCTATGATTTACCCATCAACCCAGCCATGTTTTGCTCCCAAGATGTCGCCTTCAGCGGTTCCAGGCGTTTCAAAAGGCCCTGGAGCTCCAGGAAAACGCTTGCGGCAGCGGCCTGCTTGGGATAATATTAGTTCATATTGAATTAACATATAGTTGTTGGATGTTTAAAAAATGCCAATTAGCTCATATTAGCTCATAAGTCCTAGACAAGCAGTTCATCTGTCATCTGTTTTTAGAGTACAGTCATCGATCGATGTTTTTCTGTTTGAACGACCCATTGACCCACCTTTCTGTATGACCAACGCCGTCTGGTGGTCCATTCGACCCATCCCCAATATGCAAATGATATAGGGACAGAACTAGAGATACCCATATGCTCCATGTATAGTACAGTATTATCTACAAAACTGGGCCATTTGTGGGGTAAATGTAGGTATTTTTTTTCCAGCACCATGGAGCATATGGGATATATAGGGATGTTGTTTGCTCCATTTAGCTCCATGTAGGTGGAGTCGGGCCAGGTTCCCCGGCAAACAGGCAGCTTCCCGTTGGAAACAAAGAGTTTCAAATGGTTTTTTTATTGTTTTAGTCTAAGAGTATCATATCGAGTTTCTAGTCTGGAAATCCAAAACCATGAAATACGAAAAAAGCCACATTTTGAAACTGAAAGAAACGAATTGAACTTGAACACAGAAAAAATCTGAACCCTGAGACTCCGAACAAAAAAAACATTGACATCGGCCACCAGCCCTCAACAGCGCCAATAGCGCTGGAAGACCTGGCCTGACCGTAGTCATAATCAATCGATCTCAATGCAATCATCATCACTACCAGCACACCAAACGCACAATCCTCCAGATCGGGTCGCATTTTTTGCGAAACAACAGGCAGAGGTGTGCTTCAGGGAGGGGTCCAGCCGTCTTTCGGCAGGGTGTCCTGAATGACACGGACCCAGTACTACAATATAGGTTTCTAGTTCTAGCTCTGCACTCGTTTGAAACATCGTTGAACAAGTTGAACACCGTGGATTCTAATTGGATGCCATATCCAGCAGAGTTTTGTAAAGATTCACAACCAGTCCTGAATATGCTCCTCCACTGCATCTGCATCAAGGATGGCATTGTACAATTTGGCAAGCCTTGGCGGCAGGCATGTGAGAGGTACTGGATGGTACCGGTGGCATGGCGAGGGGTCCTCGATTTGTTCACCATTACTGACTAGTATTGAGTACTCAGCAATGGGTATACCGCAGAAAGTTGTGTTTTTCTCCATAGTAGGTAGTCAATTAGGTAGTCTGCAATCCGTGGTAATCCGTAGTCCGTAATCCGGAGGTGTCTGAAGATTGCCCTGGAAATCCTAGACAAACATGTAATTGGCAATCCGCTCAAAAAACGTCAAAAAAACATAAAAAAACAATCCTCCTAATTGGGGGCTTAACTTTGAGGGGATCAGTTTCTCCATGATTCGTGGTTGAAAAACCTCGTCGTCATGGTGAACTCTGCTTCTTGTTCGCACTTGGTCGTTCAATCTCTGCTTCTTGTTGATAAACTTCCCCGTCGTCGTTCAAACACACGTGAAATCTGCATGTTTGTTGGTATCAAAACCATCGTTGTGGTGTGGAAATCCCGTTTCTGGTCACATGTCATCTATCAAAAACACCTAAAAACACCAAGTAAATGCCCACCATTCCTCCATTGACTGGTCAGCCACACTCGCGATTGTTTCAGCTCCAAATCGACCCAGGAGTCCACCATGTTTTTCACCTTGGGAGTTTGAAGCTGCATGGATAAACTATGGATAAACATCTGTTTTTTTCCAGAAATGAAGAAGAACACCCACATCACTGAAAAAAAATGGCAGCTATCAATTCACTGAATTCACTGATCTAGTCATGTTTTTCTTGTAGCTCAAATATGGATTTGAGCTGCAGAAAATCAATGTGTTGTGTTGTGTTGTAAAGGATTGAATTTGCTCAGCTGTCGAACTGAATTCGCAACTTACCATTGACAATTGGACCACCAAGCCAAGCAAACTGAAAACCATGTTCGATCTGGTCATATCAAACATGCGTTTCAACCCATGGGCGGATCGACCAGATTCGACCAGACCTGGTCCAGTGATAGTGTATTGGCTTCAATCAGTGCGTTGAAGGGAACATATGAATACACCAGGGAGCAGAAACCATGGGTGTGTCAATTCCTGCGGAAATAGTGTAGCAGTTTGACTTTCCAGCATAATTCTAGGAGATAAACCAATGTTTTTTTGAAGATAATCAGATATAATTAGTGGTGTTTCATGCCATCTCATATTCAGTTTGTGAGAAACTGATTGCCCAAATCTCCAGTTCTTCTCGCGACCAGTGGCTGCAGACCACTGGGGAGCGCTGATCACACTGGCACCCGCGCAGAGGAAAAGGGACTTCATGGCTGGAAACAGGCATCAAGTGGCTGACACAAAAATGGATTGTATATGGCCTATGGTCACCCCACCATCATTAAAGGGACTATAAAATATAATGGATATGATCGAAGGAAGTTTAGAAGTGAAACTTCCGACAATATGGACAGTTGAAAAGCAGAGGTGAGAAGAGTCAGAAGAGAAAAGATCAGAAGAAAGAAGATGCAGGTGCGCGAAAAGATAGGAAAGTCGCGATTCACTGTGTTTTTCCAATGATTTGTGGCTCCGGAGGGTCGAAAAGTAGGCTCGCTAAAGCGGCAGGTGCGGAGCCAGCTGGCCAGATGAGACATGAAAAAGTGCACGCCGTTGTGGCGCGAAGCACATTTCCAAGTCAAAATGGACAAAGCACTAGAGGATCGGACCACTTTTGGAAGTTGAGATGTCGAAAAAGTGCACGCCGTTGTGGCGCGAAGCACATTTTGAAGTCAAAATGTACAAAACACACCATGGTCGGACCACTTTTGGAAGTTCCGATGTCGAAAAAGTGCACGCCATTGTGGCGCGAAGCACATTTCCAAGTCAAAAGTGTTAAAAACTGACGGTCTCGGACCACTTTTGGAGGTTCAGATGTCGAAAAAGTGTCGAAAAAGTGCACGCCGTTGTGGCGCGAAGCACATTTCGAAGTTAAAAGTGTAAAAAACTGAGGGTTTTGAGCCTTTTTTGACGTGAAGATGTCGAAAAAGTAGACACTGATTAACTTAACTAACTTGACTAACTTAACTAACTTCACTAACTTAACTACCCTAACTTCGACGACAACAGCAACAGCAACAGCAACAGCAACAGCAACAACAACAACAACAACAACAACTACTACTACTACAACTACAACTACAACTACAACAGCTACAACAACAACAACAACAACAAAAACAACAGCAACAGCAACAACAACAACAACTACTACTACACAACAACTACAACTAGAACTACAACTACAACAACTACAGCTACAACAACAACAACAACAACTACTACTACTACTACTACTACAACTACTACTACAACTACAACTACAACTACACCAACAGCAACAACAACAACAACAACTACTACTACACTACACAACAACTACAACCACACAACAACTACAACTACAACAATTACAACTACAATGACAAAACAACAACAGCTACAACCATATGACTGCAACTACACTACACTAATTACATTACACCACAACTACAACTCGACTACGCTACAACTACAACTACAGTTGCAGTACATCACACTACATCCAGCAGTTGTGGGTGAGGTGACCACTGCAACCATTGCAACCATTCCAGCAAACACAACTCCAACCACCTTTCGGTCAATCAGTGGCTTCGCTCTGCCATCCGTGATTCACAACAACCAACTTCTCCTATAGGTTTCCTATTTTTGAAACTTCCGCCACCGCATTGTGCGGTACTACTGGTATGTTTATATATGTTTCATGCATTAACTCCTGATCATGGGGGTATGACACGGCTACCCCACAAAATCTCCATTGGTCAAACCTGGTCAAACCTGTGGCAGGACAGACTTCCTATAGGGTACCGACTTGAATATACCTTTAGGATGGAGCTTGCCACCAGTAACACATCCGATCAGCAACCATGGTGCCAGGTGTACATCATCAACCAGATACCCCAGGTCTGGATGGGATGGCACCTTCTCAGGTCAGGCCTGATTTACCTTGATGCCATTGATGCTCTTGGGTACCCAAGCCGTTTGGATCTATCGAAAAGCCAACAAAAATCTCGGAGTATGATTCTTACATGCTGGGAGTGCTTGCATGTCAGAAGAATTTGTGTGACATATAGGCAAATGATACAAATTGCCCCTCCACTGCATGTTCAAACTGCTTGATCAATCAAAGCTGCGGCTGATGGACTGAGTTTTGATCTGTTCAATCATATTCAATCACCGCAGCATGACATGGGTCTCTGTTCTGAAATGGTTGGACATCCCACCTGGACATGACAACCATGGTAGGATGGACATGTAAAAACATTGGGCTTTACCGGTAAACCTCCCCTTTTCAAATGGGGTACCTCGAAAATGCAAATACTTACTGTTTCATTTGTTCAATTCAAAAAATACATTTTGTGGTATAAGATGTATAGCGTACCCTCTGGTAAACTAACAGTTCGCTAGTGAAAATGGCCCAGTCGAAACTGTTGATTTACCCATTAGCATGGTGATTTTCCATAGTTTTTTGTATGTTTACCAGAGGGTACCATAAACATCCATAAACCAATATGTACAAACCCCATTAGTTCGTTATATATATATATATATAAACCGCATGAAAACTATTCACAGATGTTTGTTCACAGATGTTCGTTATATATACCCTCTGGTAAACTAACATAACTATGGAAAATCACCAGTTTTCATGGGAAAACTCACTATAAATTTGCCATTTTCAATAGCAAACTGTTAGTTTTTACCAGAGGGTGAACTTGTTTTTGGACAAACAGTGACTCCAATCCACCCAAGAGCTGTTCCAACAAAAACGAGGGACCGATCCACCCTGGGACCCGAGACGTGAAGCGTCTGTTGCTCCTGGGGTCAGATGTCGTCAGCTGAACATGGTAAGCAACTGACATTTTAATACATAGCAAATGGAACATCATTAGTTATAGTCTTAGTTATAATTTATAATAGTTATATTTTTCATCACCACAAGCATCCATAAAGCCTACTCATATAATAAAACTATAATCCCCATACCCTCTTGATCCCTCCTGTAACATACAGCTATGTCAAATCACCGGAGGCATCTGGGGTCTTCAGGATGGATATTTTGAGCCCTTGAGCCATATTTGATCCTCCGAAAAATTGTTTGTTTTGTTACTACCCAAAAAAAACATTGACTCATATGTTATGTGTATATATATATATATGTATAATTATGTAGTATATATATAAATATGTATGATTATGTGTATATATATAATTATGTATATATACATATATATATATATATGTATAATGATAATTACGTGTGAATATATATACCTATATTTAAAATTATGTGTATATAAATAATGATGTGTATATATATATATAATTATGCGTATATATATATATAATTAAGTAAATATATAATTATGTGTATATATATATATAGATATTTGTGTATATATATAAATATATATTTATGTATATATATATGATTATGTATATATATAATTATGTATATATATATATAATTATGTATATATAAAATTGTGTATATATATAATTATGTGTATATATATAATTATGTGTATATATATAATTATGTGTATATATATAATTATGTATATATATATATATAATTATGTGTATATATATAATTATGTGTGTATATATATATATAATTATGTGTATATATATATATATATACAATTATGTTTATATATATAATTATGTATATATAATTATGTGTGTATATAAATATTTGTATATATATACAATTATGTGTATATATATAATTATGTATATATAAATATATAATTATGTGTGTATGTATATAATTATGTGTATATATATATATGTATATATAATTATGTATATATCATATTTTTGTTTGAGCCATTTCCAAGACGCAACTGGTTGTGGTCTAACTGGTTGCGGTAACTTCTTTCCGCTCCTCCTGCGCATCCTTTGATCGCCTGCCAGCTGGGCAGCTGGACCCACGGGGCGGTTCGTTGTGAGTCAAACAGAAGGAGTTTATGTCATATGATATGTAAATTATATTATATAGCATATGTCTAATTATATATGTCTATATGTCTCAACATATATATATATATACATAATGTAGTATACCGATTAGTGTGATGGACCTCTATTGTGGATTTTTCCAAAATCATTGAGTATCTTGTGGATGGTGGGGGTGGGGCTCTATTGTGGAAGTTTTTTCTCAGATCGATTTTTTTTCAGGAGGAGCTTTATCCACCTTGATACACCTTTCTTTGGGTAAAGCTGGTCCATTTACTTTAGAAAGCCATATCCATGTTACTGTAAAGCCTTGAAAATGCAAGGTTTCCCAATTAATTAGATGCCTTACTAAACCATTATTAAAAAACAGCACCCAAACAATTTTTCAAGGGGGTACCCTATGAGTGACCCAGATCCTCAATAATGTAATTGTTTCGATGGTACCCTATTGTGCACAAAAACTTTTGGGGTGATTTTTTTAGATTCGAAAGGAAGATCAATTGAATGTAGATTGATGTCAATTGAAATCCTTACTTGAGTTGACTATCCTAAAAAATTGTTGGGGGGCAGAAAATGGCGAGCTATTGAGTAGCCTAAAATTGTTGAGGGTGGAGGGGGTTGCCCCCACACTAATCAGTAGCCAACATTACATAATACAGTATATATATATATATTTATACATTATATATATATATATATGGTTGGTGGATGTTGGTCGTTCCTTCGGCTGTTTTTTTTTAAACGATATCTATGTTGTTTGGTTCGATGCTCACATTTGTGTTGGTTCCGTATATCTTGACACATACTGGTATCCCAACTGACCACTTTGTTGCATGTGTTGACCCATAAATAGGTATTTAACTCCGGGCTTAACAATCCTAGACTCCATCTAATACGACGTAAGTAACTACAGCAACATGTCTTATATAGTCATATTTCAAAGTAAGTAAACTTACTAAATACAGCAACTGCACTAATTTCGTTGCGGTCCCCGTTCGGTTGCTTCCGTGGCCAAGGCAGCCTGCCTGGGTTGAAAGAAGGCAGAACGCGTCATAGACCTGGCGCTTCAGGTGGCCAGTCCTGAAGCCATAGCCTCTGGTAAACAAAACATACAAAAAAAAACATGGAAAATCACAAGCAAAAATCATAGGTAAATCAACTGGTTTCTATGGGCCATAGCTTCAAGTTCGCAAACTGTAACAAATTACCAGAGGGTGAGTTGTTCCAAATCTTTGAGTTTCTCTGCATCTCCAAACGCGCCTAACCGTTAGCCTAACCTGACTGAGGCTCCTGCCGCGTAGATCTACAAAATTGGCGGCTTCACGGCCACCCGTTCTCCATGAGTTCTGTGCACAGGGTCTGGTAAAAGTCCGTAAAATGCTTGTGCTGGAATAGTTTTTCTGATCCATGAAGGTTTCAGAGGTAAATTCAGAGGTCCAAGGGGCCTCCACCAAAACAGAACCTGGCGTCTTTAGAGGTAATTTATGTGAGAAAACGTGGTAATTTAAGTAATGCAACATGATGGTACAACAGGAACACTGACTACATTCAATTCAGTTTCTGTATGCAACCAACTGTCTTATGTGTACATATAGACAAGTATGTTCAATGATGTTTACACAAAACATGTCTTACTATATGGTGGTTCTTGGAAACTTGGCTACCATGTTTCACTCCTATCCACGACAATCTTTGAATGATAACTTTTTGGGTCCGTGATGACTGGAGGAAAGACCCCATGGATTGATCGGAATCCTGGAAGGGTTGACTCTTCCATCCTGGCGTTTGAAGCTGGTCCTATTTTCCACGCTAGTCACAAAGCAGCTCTAAAGGCCGGGTCCAGTTTGGCTCACAAATTCATAAAAAAAGATGGTGTTATATCGGTTACAACTTTCTATCCAGTACATATTTGTTAAACATGTTGTTCTGTGGCTCTTGAAGCCTGACACGCAGCCTGATCTGTGGGTAGGCAGGTTGGCTATTCGGGATTTCAAGCTTAAAACTGATACGTACGAGCCCCATATACCCCCTGGTATTTGAACATAGATTTAGAAAAGCGAACAAGTATTATTGGGTGAACAACATATCAAATCACCATTTCCAATAGCTATAATATTTAATTACCAGAGAGTATTGGGATATCTATGCCACACCCTTTGGATGATCCGCATGATCGAGATATCACGAGATGAGTTCGGGATATATCGAATCTATTGGCTTTAACATCATCTATAGTTCTCCCGATTTTTGGTCATTAAAATGAAGGAACCATGATGACATATGATGACTAGCCAGTGGATTTTGGGATTTTCCCAGCTCATCCCCACAAATTGTCCCTTGTTCGTGCCCGCAAACATCATCTTTGTTGGTTTCTAAACCCATCTAAATAGCTGGTTGGTGGTTTCAACCATCTTCAAAAATATTAGTCAATGGGAAGGATTATCCCATATGTGATGGAAAATACAAAATGTTTGAAACCACCAACCAGTTAGTTATATCATCATAAACCCAGCAGTGAATCAAGTGAACCAAACTCACTTAGCGAGGAGCACCGTTATCACCAGTTCTGATAGTCAAGTCCTTATTATTGATCGTTTTGTCATGTTTATTCCCATTATATCTCTGTGAAAATCCCAAAAGAGATTGTAAACAATCACCAACCTGAATTATGTACATATATATATATATATACACACATACATATATATATACCTTTATATATATATATACAGTACATTTAGTATATCCATGTAGTACTCCACAATATATATATATATTTATTTATTATATATATATGTACTCCACAAGATATATTCATATTATATGTATATATATATATTCTATATTTATCCACATATTCTGAAGAGTTCCACGGTCTCCAGGAGCATTTTGACACTCGTTTTCCGCAGTCTCGGGGATGGCTTCGTTTGCCTTGACAAAAACAGCTGGCTGGGGATTGTGGAGAGCTTAACCAACTAAACATAACTAATCTTAAGCCACCATGAAACAACCAACATATATAGATATATAATATAACTATATACTATAATATAATATTCCGAATGTTCCAAACCACCAACATTATATTAATATATACATATATATTAATAATTAAAATGTTCCAATATTCCAAATGTTCCGAATATTATTAACCCATTATTAATATTCCATAAAGATCTGGGTAAATTATAATATTACACAAACCTGAATAGTTCGGCCATTTGGGGATGATTTCCCTTATTAACCATGATTCCAGGGCTCGGGAGAACAGTGAGGTCGTTATAATTCACCCAGAACAATGAATTAGGTGTCTTAAGCAGCTGAAGTAGGGTTTATATAACCAAAATAAACTAGATATCGATGGTAACCCTTGAGAAAAAATCACTACAAGACCAGTTTTTGACCGCGTTTGAAACGACAGTATGATGCCACCAGGCTGCCACCCTATCTTTGGTCTCACCTGACATTTTCGAAACAAGATTGATGTAAGCTAAATCTTTTGAAGATCCCTCAAAACATCATCTGGGTATCAAAATTCACATATTATGTACATCACCATCGGGCCCAGGAGAATCCAGCTTCCACCTTCTCGGGGCGGGCTCGCGCCAAAGACAAAGATCCCTACTTTGTTCAGGTGAAATACCCTTGTGCTCCCCCTGTGCCACATCCATGTTGGTCACCCAGCACACGAACAATGGCTGATTTATGTGTGGCCCTGGGCTCTATGTGCTCATCTACAGTTTTGAATGTAGTATTGCAGTGTGTATTAATATACACATATATATATAATATGTAAACATCGTTAAGAATTGTTATATCGTATTTAATAGCCACATTGTTTTTGAGGGAAAAAACTGTAGACTCCTTATTTTTTTGCGCGTCATTCCAGAATCCAAGCTCTGAGATGCTAAAACCACCCCATAAGAAATCCGAGGATCTTCCATAGGGATGGACATAGACTCCAACAAAGAATGGATCTAGCTGAATCATCCCATAGATCACCTGAAAGTGAAATTAACCTGAAATAATACCCACAGTTGATTTTACTGGCTAATTGAGAAGCGGATTTCCATGATTGGACGAAGAGAATCCCGAATATGTACATAAAATTAAAACCCTATAGATACCCCATATTTACGTAGTTATTTATGGTTATTTCTTTTTTTTCTATGGGTAAAATTATAATACCAGGTATCCGAAAATCCATAACATGTATCATGATGATAATGGTAGCATAACCTGTTACAATCATCAATCAACCATCAGTTATCAATGATATTAATTACATATTCAACCGTAGTTTTGATGGTTGAAACAGTTAAACACCCATACAGCACAACGGTGCTAAAACTACCGCCCCGTTGAACCAACTCCATGGTGACCTTCACAGCCGCACGTTGCCGATGTCCTGCGAAAAAGGCCTGCGTGCGTGCCGCTGCAGATCGGAATCGCCAAGTTCTACTTGAGTTCCCTGGGGCAAACTGGTGAATTAGGTTATAACATGTTATAACTATAGAGTTATAACAGTTCTAGTATAGTTATAAATTGGCTCACCACCATCACTATGGATAGTTTTAATGCTATGTTCAAAGCCATAAAAATGGGTGATGACTTGGACTGACCACCTCGTGGGAGCGGTGCTCACGGGTATCAACAATTAAGGTGCTCACATCCTTTGAAAAAAAAGGCCTTTCTGGCAATCTATCTGACATCTGGCATTCTGCAACCGGCACCTGACCTGGCATGGCCATAATGGCCATTGACCTAAGTGGCCTTTTTCCCTCATACTGAATTTCACCTTTAGCCGAAGTGGTTTCTTTTGCAAGCTTTAAAAAGGTTGCCTTTTAAAAGCGAGCACTTAAGAAAAACAACAAAGAGGCCAGATTCAAAGAGAATCGGCTGGCACATGATTGATATCTATCTATCGATCTATCGATATATCGATCTATCTATCGATCTATCTATCTATCTATCTATCTATTGTGAATGCGGTCTAGAAACCAACAAACGTTACTATCGTCCATCTGCCAAACAAAGGTCAACCCATATGAGGCTTTCTATATCCCAACATGGTAAGTGACTAACAAGGTGGAGCCCCCCTCAAGTATATGCATATAATATACAGATCATATCTTAATCCCTGTGAAAGTGCAGGACAATGAGGATACTATTGGAGGTATCTTTGCCAGCTTAGCTAAACTTAGCTAATCATAGCTACTTCTGGGGTACCAGCGGCCGTGGCCTTTTTGGGGTATGGTTCTTGCTGCGGCGCCTGCGCCACAGGCAACTGCAACCGTGGAGGAATTCGGTCTCCAGTGCCTTGCCGGGCTCGGCTCCCATCTGCGGAGGGTCAAATCTGTAAACTGGGAGAACATATATCTGGGTTTCCATAGTCATGGGGAATCACTAATAGCTGGATGGTTTATTTCATGGAAAATCCATCTATAAGTGGATTAAAATTTAGAAGTGCCCCACATTTTAGGGAACCTCAATATGAAAATATGGAGCACATGGGGAAAAGATGGGGCCAATTGCAAGTTACATTCCTTGAAGCTGAAGAACATATGGACCACCTCCCACCTATTTGAGTGGGGAAGGTTGGAGTCGATTTGGTTCAAGACATCATAAAAAGCACAAGTAAGAAGTATCAATTCAACATGTCTTCAAGTCGACATCAGCAGATATGAGATATGATGAGATATGGCTAGTCATGCAAGGCAGCTTTACAGAAATTTACCTGTTCAGACTGTTCAAAGTCAACTCAGAAATCAATATTGGCAGACATACAATTCATCATATATGGCTATAGAAATCAATCTGCAGACATATATATATAATTATAAAAAATGTGATATATATATATAATATAAATTATAAAAATATAAAATATAAAATATATAATATATAATATATAATATATAATATATAATATATATATATGCAATATTCATATTAACTCATGATATATGGCTGTCAAAAGCCGCCCTGGTGAACTACCATCATACCTGACCCATCATATTCCGCCGAGCTACCCATCCAGGTCACCTCGCAAATCCGAGGTCCAAGATCTGGACACCTGAACCATGGGATGGGATGCCTCCGGTGGCCTCCTGCAAACGTTTACAGTTTGCTATGGAAAATGGCCTTTTTATAGATTGAAATAGTAAAACCGTGGGGATTTCCCATGGGTAAAAGTGTTAGTTTACCAATATGAGAATCAGGATTGAATAAATTAAAACATAGTGAAAGAAGTCTTTCATAAATTTGCCGTTTCTGCCTTAAGAGCACTGTTATCAGCTTTCACAGGACCACCATCAGAGTGCTAAGCTACTTGCCACACCGGCACCTCGAATGTTCAAAACATCAAGCTATTCCATGCTGCAAAGTCTCAAAACCTCCAAAAAAATCTGAATCATAATCTCACATTTCACTTTAACAGCGACTACTCGCCGAGTGGCTAAGGTATTCTAAGGTATTTAAGGGGCCCTCGTTCCCCGTCTTACACGCCCACCGTCGTAGCCGAGCATCCCTAAGAACCAATCCACCCGGACCTCATCCAAGCCCCAAAGCCTCGAGGAACATCTCGACATATACTGACTGTTAAACTTCATCTTCGAAATAGTGTTCCAATAGTGTTACATTATGATTATTTACAATACGTTCATCAATGTGAGATAATATATGTTAACACACTATCTTATACCATGTTGTAGTATAAAATTTGTTATACAGTATAAAATTATAAAAAAACAATAATAACAACAATTATAACAATAACAAAAACAATATAATAATATGTATATATAAATATATCAATAAAAATAATGGTAATAAATAATAATAATAATAAATAATAATAAGAAGAAGAATAATAAATAACAATAATAAGTAAAAATAAATAATAACAATAATAAACAATAATAAATAATAATAAAAATAATAATAATAAGAATAATAATAAATAGTAGTAAAAATAGATAATAAATACTACTAATAATAATAAAAATAATAAAAAATAATAATAATCCGCCGACCCCGGCCTTAGCCTTAGCCAGGCCGGGGCGGCGCCTGGGACCACCTTGGGTGTGCAACTTTGGCCTTTGGCCACAGCCCCTTCAATGCAACAAATTATATCCGCCGACCCCGGCCTTAGGGTGTGCAACTTTGGCCACAGCCCCTTCAATGCAACAAATTCCAGCGGTTGGCACACCCAACTGTTTTTAAGGGTCTTCAAGCCTATACCGTTTGCCCCCCAGGCAAGCCTTACGTCCAGCAGCAACCAGGGCCACAGCCCCTTCAATTCAACAAATTCCAGCGGTTGGCACGCCGATCTCTACTTTTAATATAAAAACGCCTCCGCGGCCGAAATTCCGCACAACAGCTTACGCACTCCGCGCGCACGTCGCAGCTGGCCCCTGCCCCACGATTAATTTTTGGCTAGTTGCCCGGGTTATCAGAACCTCTGGCAAGGGCATCCTGGGCGGTTTCCACGTACCCTAAGAACAACTGACGGTATTCGTCCAGACTAGTGCGGTTCCCTGTCAGTTTGTGACCTCGGTTTTCTGCATTTGTCATTTTCCAAGCTTCGCAAAGCATGTGCTCGATAAGCTGCAAATGCTCCCAAGAAGAAAAGCCGGCAATGTCCAAAGCCAATTAGAGTTGGCGCGCAAGGTCGGGACCCAGCAAATTCACTGCAACCTCAAATACCTCACTGTGCAGTCTGCGAGCCGTTGTTTTCAAATGGGTTTGCCAAGTTGCGTTGTCCTCCAACGTTGAGCCTTCCCACGGAAACAGTTGCTTTAAAAAATTGAGCGCGCCGGGCCCTAAAATTGGGCAGCTTCTCGCGTGGAACACGTCAAGGTTGGAAAGCTCATACAGACGGGCCACATGCAACGCGCACAAACGTGGCATGAACCACCGCTGTTGCAATGTCTCAACAATGTCCCGGCCTTCTTGGATTTCATTTGAAAACAAAATCCCCCTTGTGCGCAAAACGTGTTCAACGTAGAGACCCATTGCCTCATAAAAATTGTACGAGTCGCGGTCTTCCGAGACTATGCCCAAACGTCTCAAAACAGAAAATAAAGCCGCTCGACCTACCCCACTGAGACCACAAAATGCAGATATTTTCACTGTAGGCACTTAATGAAGATATTAGTAGTTATATGAACTTATCATAGAAGTGATTTTTCCTTATTTTCACTAATTTTCACTTATTTTGCTTATTTTTTTTTAGATTTTCAATGATAAATTTTGATTATAGACGATTCCATTTTGTTAGATATGTTTTTTGTTTCCAATACATTTTTTTCATGATGATTATTGTTCTTTTGAGGGTTTATCCTGTTCAGGAGTTATCCTTTTCAGGAATTATCCTTTTCAGGAACTACTCTATTCAGAATGAATCCTTTTCAGGAATTATTCTTTTCAGGAACTACTTTCTTCAGAATGATTCCTTTTCAGGAAGGATCCTTATCAGGAAGTTTCCTTTTCAGGAACGACCCCTTTCGGGAATTTTCCTTTTGGGGAATAATCCTTTTCAAGATTTATTTTTTTTAGGAAACATGATTCCATGATTACCTTTTGCTGGTTTGCAATTTAACATATGCCTTGTCCTTCTTAAGGTTTCAAAAAAAATCAAATTTTGAAAAAGTTATATTAGTTTTGATCCTTTACAAGAACTATTCAGAAAGTTCAGATAATTCAGAAATTTTATAAAAAGTCATAAAATGTAGAAAATTCAGAAAATTCAGAAAATGAAGAAATTTTGGAAAATTCAAAAAAAATAAAAAACTGTAAAAAAAAAACAGAAATTTCAGAAAATGAAGAAATTTGATAAAATATATAAAATGTAAAAAAAATTGAAATTTTAGAAAATTCAGAAAAAGTAAAAAAAATCAGAAAACCAAGAAAATTTAAAAATTCAGAAAATTCAGAAAAATTAAAAATTCAGAAAATTCAGAAAATTTAAAAATTCAGAAAATTCAGAAAATTCAGAATTCAGAAAATTCAGAAAATTCAGAATTCAGAAAATTCAGAATTCAGAAAATTCAGAAAATTCAGAAAATTCAGAAAATTCAGAAAATTCAGAAATATATATATATATATTTAATTTAGAAAATTCAGAAAATTCAGAAAATGAAGAAAATTCAGAAAATGCAGAAAATGCAGAAAATAAAAAAAAATCAGAAAATTCAGAAAAATTAAAAATTCAGAAGATTCAGAAAATTAAAAAAATCAGAAAATCCAGGAAATTCAGAAAATGAAGAAAATGTAGAAAATTCAGAAAATTTAGAAAATTTATAAAATTGAGAAAATGTAGAAAATTCCGAAAATTTAGAAAATTTACAAGTTTTCGAAAAGTCAAATAGTTTTGAAAATTTGGCCAGTATCTTTTAGATTTTCCTTCCCTGCAGATAACTGCAACCTATAATATTTTTCCTTCACATGAAGTATCCTGCAGAGAACCGTTCCCCACAATATCTTTCCTTCACAGGAAGTATTCATCAGAAAACTGGTCCCTACACGTTTTTTTTCTTCACAGGAAGTATTCATCAGAAAACTGGTCCCTACACAGTTTTTTTCTTCACAGGAAGTTTCCTGCATAGAACCGTTCCCTACAATATTTTTCCTTTACAGGAAGTATTCATAAAAAAACTGGTGCCTACACGATTTTTTTCTTCACAGGAAGTTTCCTGCATAGAACCGTTCCCTACAATATTTTTCCTTTACAGGAAGTATTCATAAAAAAAACTGGTACCTACACGATTTTTTTCTTCACAGGAAGTTTCCTGCAGAGAACCGTTCCCTACAATATTTTTCCTTTGCAGGAAGTATTCATCAAAAAACTGGTACCTACACGATTTTTTTCTTCACAGGAAGTATTCATCAGAAAACTGGTCCCTACACGATTTTTTTCTTCACAGGAAGTATTCATCAGAAAACTGGTCCCTACACAATTTTTTCTTCAGAGGAAGTATTCATGTTGAGTTTCAAAATATTTCTCCAAATCAAATTTTGCTTCTTATCACTTCTTTTCGCTTATTTTCGCTTATTTTTGACTAATATTCTACTATATTTGCTTATATCTTCCTTATTATGTTATAAGTTCACCTAAAAATTTAGTGGAACTTATAACAAAATATTTTTGAAAAAACAATTTGAGCAAGATATTAGAAGGATAATAGAAACTTATAGTATACTTATAACTTCATTAAGTGCCTAAAGTGCATATATCTGCATTTTGTGGTCTCAGCAGTGATACCTCCAACCGGAGCTCGAGGAAGATCTTACAAATCTTTTCGTAGCAAAAAATAGTCATAAGCAGTCAAGTTCGCGGAAAACCCTGATGGACCAGGTAAAATCTCTGCAACTTTTTTTGCATTGAAACAAATTGTTTTCAATGCTAAGTGTGAAAGCAGGTCTGCTTCAATTTTGTAATGGACACCACCGGGACGGATCCAAGTGTTGATCATCCACAGGCTTGTAGTATCGAACACGTAGTGAAACATGCAACGTTTTTGTGTCTCAAAAGGCGTTTTGCATTTGAAATTGGGCAGAAGTCTGTCCACATGGGTTTCCTGTGCGGCGACGGAAATCTGCAAGAAATACTAGGAAAATGCGCAAAAAATCTTGCCACATCAAATCTTCGCCAGCTTGCAGTTGCTGCAGTTCAGCTAACACTGTGTCCACGCCACGGTAATCTCCATACTCGGTCTCAAGTTTCTCTATAAGCGCTTGGCGTTCGGATGCGCCGCAGGTTTCTGCGCTGACAAAATTGTAAACACATATAACGTTGCAAAGACGTAAGATCCCAGAATCCAAGCCCGATCCATCCGCTTTTCACATCCACAGTGACAGGAGGATGCTTTCTTTGGGCGGCCACGGCCCGCCGGCCGCTTCAAGTTTTTTTCACCATTGCCACTTTGATCGAACACATATTTGGTTGCCGGCAAGTTTGCATACAACACCCACAATTTAAAAACAAATTGTTGGTGATCTGTCTTCATGTTTTCAGGTTGGGATAGGCCCCTTACCATTGGTGTCATGAGGTGTTCCCCAACGGATGGAGTTAGAAGGCTGGTCAGAACCCAAAATGGTCTGTTTTGCGCCCACCAGAGAATCAACAGCCTGTCCACATTTTTCCAGCAGTCTGTTATCCACCAACAACCCACGCACACATACACATGCATGTCGACAACCTGTGAAAAATGTAACGAGAGGAATGGATTGAGATCTACATATCTGAATCTATGCATATATGATCTATGTGAATAAACTGAAAACCTTCAAAGAATAAATGAACTAATAAAGGAAAAATAAAGACATAAAAACATGAATAAATGGAAATATCACAAAAGATACAACAAGATATGAATGAATAAATAAACGACAAATAAATACACACAATAAATAAATGCCTCCTTAATAAGCGTGCATGACGGCCTCAAATGAGGCAAGGTGGCCACATATCCTCCAAAATAAATAAAATTAAGCTTCTATATGGGCCCTGCTAGGGCCGACACAATGGTTATAGCCAAGAATTCCACCAAGGAGGCCACCACTGGCAGCCGGCAAGACACCTCGAAACCAACGAAGACCTAGGGATCCGGGTCCAGGCACTCCAAGATGGCCTGGGTTCAACATGGTGGCGTGAACCCCAAAAGCACGAAGGTGAAACATGATGATGATGATGATGATGGTTATGATTATTATTATTATGATTATGATGATGATGACGATGATGATGATGATGATGGTGAATATCAGTGCTTAGTGATGGTTAGTGGTGGTTATCCATGGTTGATGATCATTGGTGAAAGTTTAAAAAAGAAATGACTCATAGTGGTTCATGCTGGTGAACGATGGATTTTAGCGGCATATGGAGCTCAGCAAATTTTGAACGAAGGTGCACCATGATAGGCAGCCAATCCGTTTACGAACTATAGCTCACACCAGGTAATCATAATTAATGAAAGCAGCGGAAGGTTAATGATGGTTGACGCTCCCTAAGTGACCCTACATGACTGCCCAGTATGGCGCAACAAATGAAAGATTAACCCAACTTTACAAGCATAGTACCGTAAAGGCCACCATTGTTGTTTTTAGGCCTTCGTGATACACGTGGCAAACATCATAACATGATATGAGGTTGCGGTTAGTCATTAATCATATAGGGTATTGATCATCAATCATGATTCCAATATCATATCGTTATGTGAATGCAACTCAACACTTAGTCATGATTATTTAGGGTTATTCATAGTTACATCCGTGGCCATGCCGTGTGCCTGTGGAGTGAACCCCCAGTTCACGACGTTGAAAGATAATAATGGTTGATGTCAATGCTTCGTGATGGTTAGTGATGGTTAACCGTGGTTGATTATCATTGGTGACCATTGAACACACAAATGGTTAGTGATGGTTAACCGTGGTTGATTATCATTGGTGACCATTGAACACACAAATGACTGCTGGTGGTGGATCAGCATGCTGTTGTCCCCCCAGTTCCTGATATAGATGGGTATCAGATGGCTAATTAAGCTGGGTAACACTAGGTCCCCCATGGGCCGGGCATCTGTCTTCTCGACCTGTTCGCTGCCTCTTCCCAGCAGCATGCGGAAGCAGTCTGTGCCAGCAATCACCAGGGGACCATCCACCTGGTGCTGGACGTGGGAACGCGGTAAAAGGTCGTGATTAGCCGACGGCTCATCAATGGTTCATCCATTGGTATAATGTACAATGTGATAAATAAATATATATATATGTGTGTGTGTGCTTTATTATACGTACAATAAAGTGGTCCATCATGGTTGATACAATCATAGTATACCACCCAAAAAGAAAGGTTTCCAACTATGTTTCTAACTCATGGATATACCCATGCATCAATGGATTACCAGGAGCATTAATGACGAAATTCTATATATATATAGATAGATAGTGGGTGGTCAATGATAGTTGGGTGTATAAATGGTTACTTATGTGCGTCAAAAAATTAGCCCCACGAACGGCGCAGTGTGAGCCTCAATGCTCCCTAAATGACCCTACAGACCCTACCTGACGCCCAGTCTGGGGCAAGGTGGCCACATATCCTCCAAAATAGTTCAAAATAATTTCTACATAAGCCCTGTTTGGGCCAACGCAAACCTGCTTAATTAATACACTAGCTCTAGCCGAGGCTTTGTCAACAATGCGGAACATGGTCAAAGAATAAAGGGTATGATTTTGAATCAACAAGGAAAATGGGCAACCCCTGCTTCCGTAAGCACAAGCTCAACATGGCCCAAGGCATGCGGCACAGACAAAAATCTCATGGCGATTGATGATTGCCGTCCAATGCTCAGGAATTCCGAGACAAGCTGACCAAGACCCTTTCAAACCTTGGCGCCAAATCTTCCAAAGAGATCAAATTTTCCTCTGGCCCCTTCCCATGCGACTGACGCATGGCAAGCAGCCACAGAAGTGGCAAACGCACTGCCAACACAGCGAATGAGGAATTGACATCGGGCATATTAGCTTGGATGGTGCCCTCACTTTGTCACACCCTCCCGCCAGCAGGTGCCGTAGCACATGGAAAAAACATGTCAGTGGCCTTGCAACCAAGGACAACAACCGGAAAATGTGTCTCATGGCAATGACTAAGGAGACAATCCTCAGCTTTCGCCTTCTCCTCCATATTCCTGCGCGGCCACCCCCTGTCCCCGTCCCCATTTGCTTTGAAATATATCACATCATGCTGGACTCAGTCCTCATCCAGCGGTTGCTCCCGGCATGCCTGCACCTGTGAAGCCATGCTGCGCGTTCCTGAGCACCCTCTGCCAGTCCCCCAATAGATCCTTGTAAACATTTTTTTCTTTATAATAACCAAGCAAGAACATCTTAGTGTCATCCTTCCACCTGCGCCAATGTTGCGCCCCAGCGACCAAGCACTGCCAGCTCGGTCACTCTCTCCATCTGCCTCCTGCGTCGAGCCAGCTTCCCCCCAGCCGGGTACAAAGCAAGCAAACTCCGCGCTAGCTCAGCAGCTTGGCCAACTTTCTCGGCAGTGTCTCGCAGCCGCTTGCGACCCTGAGTTGCACGATAGCTTAGTTAACGCCCATTAATCCCTGGCAGTAGCCCAACTACATGATTCACGGCACATGCTGTTTCATGCCTGGGATTCGGCCGCAAGGCAGATGTATCATGCTACTTCCCTCACTGACCCCTGCCATGACCGAGAATCCCCCACCTATAGCATCCACATCGTTCACAGAACACCGCACGAAAAGCCAAGGGGTCTGGACAAGTGCCAATCCTCAGCCAGTTACTATCAACCTCTTTACACCAACATGGGTCTCCGCTTAATTCCAGCTAGACACTTCCATCTCCTTGGCCTCATCGTCGTCATCCAAGAATTTCAACCGATGCCCGGCAGCTTCCACGGTACGTTGAAAGCGAGCCAAAGCTTTCGCCTTCATACGGCAATCTGCCCGGCAGCGCATACCATTGCCCAAAGGCACGCAACGCCAGAACTCTGCTCCAGGCTCCCTGGAAGGCTTGCCATGGTCAACTCAACACGGCACATGCAGTGCCCTCCTTTCATGGTTTTGCTTTGGAAGTCCTTCTATCCGCTTAATAGATTGCCAGGTCTGGCTCCCAAAAACCCACCGTATGCCCTGAACACCTTGCAGCATCAGCTGCTCCTGAAACTTGCCATGACGTTTCCCACCCTTCCACTCATCTACCGCCCCTCAATGCCATAGACTCCCCTTCTCCCAGAACCGCATAAGCCAAGGCACGACCGAGCCTCCAACATTGCCTGCACTGTTGCACGCTCCATTTTGCCTCTGTTCGTAGAAAATGTGATGCTGAAGGCCCGCTCCACCACCGGGTCAGGATCAGATACTGGCACTTCCACAGGCCTCCAACAAAATAACCGCACACAACTCCCACGGCTTAGTTGCTCGGAGGAAACACCCACATGTGCAGCAACAACAACAAACAACAAACAACAAACAACAACCAACAACCAACAACCAACAACCAACAACCAACAACCAACAACCAACAACCAACAACCAACAACCAACAAACAACCAACAACCAACAACCAACAACCAACAACCAACAACCAACAACCAACAACCAACAACCAACAACAACAACAACAACAACAACAACAACACCAGCAACAACAACAACAACAACAGCCGTTAGGACACCAAAACCCTCACACGTGCACACAATGACCATAACTTCACCTCAACCCAGCCCTGTCCCAGCCAAGGTTGGCCTGATGTCTCGGAGAGTGAATCGCTCTGCAAGCCAGAAGCGCACTTTTTGCCCCTCCTCACCTGGTGAAAGCTCGCAATAGACGGCATCCTCCACCAGCTTCAACGTGAAGGGAAAGCCAGCCTCCTGGCTTGCCACCATAAGGATCGACTGCGAACGAACGCTTACAGCCCCCCCAGTGTAACCTTAGACAATGTCGGCCATTCTGATATTGTCAGCCATGTAGTTTCATGATGCACGTATGCTCCGAGCCACAGTGCAATACGTTTACACTACTTGCGGTTCAAGTCTTGACCTTTCCGCTCTCGCCCCCCATGCCACCCACACCTTCTCCATGGCAACTGCCAATGCTTCAGCATCTTTGCCGGCCAGCAAAGCAGAAGCCTCACTGCCCTCAGCCACGCAACTCAGCAATGCCACCGCTATAGCTACTGCCGCAACACCGTTAGATGATATGAGGATCCACCAAAATGCTTCGGACATCTCTGGCCCATGCTCTCAATGTCCAAGTCAATGCTTCCACGCTGACTGCATGGCATGCAAGGTCTCATGGCTCCTTCATACTTCATACCACGCTCACCACTTCATGGTGGCCACGCGTTTTCTTTGGCGGAGGGCAACCACCAAGGATCATAAACCTTATTGCTTTCTCCAATAATAGGGGGATGCACCCCGGCCATCTCCTAGAATTGATGTAGTATCCCCTAGAGTCGGTCGCTAACCATCAGTGGTCAGTAAATGGTTGTTGGCTATGACCCATGTCTAAACCACATCAACTTTGCTTTGCCAATAGATCTTCACCAATGACAGATGTGCTCCACCACAACTCTCTGCAGGCAACTCCTCACCTTGGTCTACAGCCTCTCTATTGCACCCACACGGTTCTCTCTGCTTTCGTTTTCCACCACCTCATTTGTCTGCTGTTTCCACTGGCTGCCGTGTGCAGCAGGTCATCTACTCAGACAGTCTGGGCAGCTGCATCTCCTGCAGCCAAACCACACGAAAGACTGGGCATTGATGGTTCAGACTACCCGCTTGCCTACCAAACGTCCCACATATGGGGACCAATGTCGCAAACCACCAGCTAGCTATATAAGCGGGTTCTTCCTATAAATCAATCATTTGCAAGGCCCACCCCCTTACCGGCAATGTTCTGCCCTCGGATTGGGCGCATTATTATGCAGTGTTGCACTTATTTGAACCGGTTATATATGTACCTACATGCAAATGTTGTCAATATATGTATTCATGAATGCATTAGCGTATGCAGATAGCCAGAAGTCTAGTTCGACATATACGTGCACAAATGCATATACATTTAAGTATATATCTCATCGTGCACATACAAAGGTCTGTGTACCATTATGTACTTATGTATACACAATATCATAGGCCATCAACATGGATGTGGAGATCCATAATTCCCAATAGGGAAGCCATCTAAGATGGTGGATTTTCCATATCCCGCTGTTAGTTCACAGCCACGTATCTGAGATATACACGCATGATACTCCACAAAAATGTTGGATCATAAGGGTTGTTGATGGCTGATTGGTGATTCAATCATGCTTAATAGACGGTTCATTGATGGTTCATATACGAGTATATATTCGATCATTATACCAATGACCATTTTTAGTCGGTAAACCATCATGTTGGGCTACCCCTATTAGTGGCGTACCCATGTGGCCATATCAAACCAATGGTACCATTATTACATCCATTATTGTATCCATTATGATTGCCATTATTATAGCCATGATAGCCATGATCATGACAATGACAATAACCATAATTGCCATGTAAACCCAAGGTTTTCTCCACAAAGAAAACCTGCCATTGCCGATCTCGGCCTTCAGCCTGGCATCTGCGCATATCTGCGCAGCAAGTGGCCAGCAGGTTTCTGATGCAGTTCACGAACATGGTGCCCACCTTAGGTTAGCCACCATTATTATACCATGATATACACCATCATCATACCATAAATACGTGATACATTGCATTCACCACCATCTTGGTTTTTTCCTTGTGAACCATGCCATGGCTTAAACCAGCATGGGGCCAACCACAGCCAGCCGTCTCTGTCCATAAAGACCGGGTCTTTGAGATGCAGCTGCAGTTCTTCCTGACGAAGCATGAGGGCAACCATGGCTAATCCGAATTGAACTGGTCAAACTGCCACCATCCATGGGTCAACAAAATGTGTTTTCTTCCCAGCAAACAGGCTTTGGATTATTGATGAGTTTCATATCCAAGACAATCGGTGGTGAGGAATGGGTAATTGATGATGCTTTTCCATGACGCTTGGTGGTGAAGTCTGGGTGATTCATGTTTACAATTTCGTGTTTCCAAAAACGGGGGTGCCACGAGTCAGCCTTGGTTGACCTATTGAAATGAATCCATGTTCCACCCCAAGCCAAGGTTTAGCCCCAACCACTTGGGAGGCCTTGGGCACACCTGACAATGGGTCAATCTTGCTGCAATTTAGGATTGGGGTGTTCATGCCCGCATAATGATCGATCGATATCAAAGGACCCATAATGGTGTAATTAATGAATGTTAAAACAATGGCAAAGTCATGGCACAATCATCATCAATATTCCTAATTGACAAGTCAAGCCCAATGCTTCCATAGTGGCATAGCCGTCCCCCAATAATCCGTTTACAAGTCTACCAACTACCTCTGGTAATCTAACATGGCAATCTAAAATGGCCACATCCAAGAACGGTCAATGATATACAACCATAGTGGATTTTCCATTGCAAACTGTTGGATTACCAGCAGGTAGGACCTTTTGGTGCATAGCCCCCACTAACTACCGCAACTGTTTCTTTCTCTCACCGACCGCAGGGAAAAACCAACCTGCTCTGAAGGTCAGAAAAAAACCTGCCGCTCAAAACAGCTCCATGCTTTCGCTCTGTCAATCTGTCCACATTGCTTCCATGGCTAAATTGGCTCTATGGTAGCTTGCCCATGTTTAATTGCCGTGTGCCTGATTTGGTATTGTCGATCAAACCGGATAAGCTAGCAGCGCGGTGTTGTACAGACCACCCTTTCCTTTCCCAGCTCGGTGTCTTGACCCAGCTCAATTCCATGCAATGACCATGATTTTTAGTTCAATCTACCATGTCCTACTGTGCGTTCCAGTCGCACATATGTACTTCATTACACATGTTTTTGCTTGGAGATGAGTTGCTTCAAACATGACCCCGTCGAAAGCATGCAGCGCAGATACCATCAGGCGGAGCCCACGCGCTCATGGCGTGTTCTCCACCCAAGTCAAAAGTCACTGCCATGCTGGTTAAAATCTACACTTTCCACATGATACACCTCTTCGGAATGATGGATGTCCACAGCTTCAAATGGTTTACTAGAGAATAGGTGGTTCAGTGACGGTTAGTTCACGGCTGATCTGATCAGTTTCACAAGAAGTGTATAATTAATGATTCAATTTAAATGTTAGTGGCGCTGACTTCATGAGTGATAAATGTCTCATACACTCTGGTATAGCAGGTGTAGCATGGCCATCCATCAAGGCACTCAGACCGCAACTATCATGCTGCTGTTTGCGTAGGCATGCAAAGTGCCGCTCTTCATCACCAATCCAAGAAGACCCACGCTCTTCTCTTTCTGGATGTCCACGTTCTCAGAATGCCCGTCGTAGAGGGTCACGTTGAAGCCTGAAGCCCACAAACTCTTTTCCATAGTTCCCAAACCATTCAAAACCAACCTTAGCAATACAAATACCCATGCTTCTGACTGAGCACCACCACACAACCCCAACATCTGCCAAGGAGCTACTCTCTCCTGAGCCCTCGGGGTCTGCTACGGTGATCATCCGGCGACCACCGCTCGCCTCCGAGCAATCAACCACTTTAGTGTCTGTTGATCTTCTTCCTGTTTGACAAGCTCCAGACTGTTGTCGACCTGCAATCCAGAAACTTCAGAAAAAGTTATTTCACCAGAAACCTTGTCCGTCGCGATGTTACCACCAGCGACCTCCACTGAAAAATTGTCGGCTGCTTCAACTTGCGCTTGTTCTGACAGAGTCGACGGAACTGCAAGACGGTTCTGACCTTCTTCCTCCACTGGACCTGACTCTGTAAAGGCAGCCTCTGCAAGAACTTCTTCGGGGATGTTCGATGCTGTGGCAGGGTCTGAAGCTTGGTTTGCAAAATCCGTCGCGACGTTTTCGTCAGCGACCCCGTCAGGCAAGAAAAATGTTGAAGGCACGGCACCCGAGCTTGATGTCTCCTGATGTAGCTCTTCCTTCACGTCTGTCAGATGTCCTTCGGCTCGATCTGCAGAAGTGGGTGCCTCACCAAAAGACAGCACGGGCGATAAAATATCCTCAGATAGATCCGCCCAGTTTCGGGAGGCCGCGGCGCCCGGTTCAGCAGTTGGTGGATTAAATTCCTCAACACCTTCTGCTTCCCCTAGAGCGTTGGCTCCTTCCACTGGTGTTTCCGGTGTCGCGCTGTAGTCAGCAGCGACCCTTTCGGAGCTATCTGAGGGCATGCACGGTCAGTGACGAAAGCGCGGAAAAACAAAGGGGCCTAAACCAGAAGTTATCGAAGGATTAGACTTCCCCAAAAAGCACTTACGGCTGATAACCAGTGAAAACGGGGGACCGAACGAGGGAACCAACCACGGTATCCTTCGACAACCCCATTAAACAAACCAAGTACCCCCTTTTCCCGATGGGGCGCTTGAGCCAATGCGTCAATGGCGTAACAGGTTAAGGTTACCCATTTCTAACTTTGGCCATGCTACATACACCTACTAACGCTTCTAGTAAGGTGTGTTATGCTACTCTGTACATTAAGCATCAGAAGTAACAAGTTGGAGTAAATTGGAACTCATAGCTACATTATGCCTACACTAGACCTACCTGCACATGCTATACGGTGGGGCTCAGGGGTCGATATATTTCAACTAATAATAATAATAAATAGTAATAATAATAAGAATAATAATAATAAGATATATATATATATGCATATATATATATATACATGTTTTAAATATATATGGGTTACAATATTTTATAATAGTGTTGAATACTGTTAAATAGTTTGATTTCCCAGTGCACAATCAACCAGAGTTTTGTTTTCACACTAGTCGAGTTACTGGAGGTGTCAAGCTGCCAAGATTTTTAGTTGATCCCCCCCCCAAAAAATAGAGAAACGTAAGAATTCCAACAAGTTAGCCTCTAGAGTAAACATACAAAAAACGATGGAAAAACACCGTGAAAAAAATACCCTTTTGGCCGTCTCCTTTTGGGGGTTCCTCCAACCTTAAAGCGAAATTATCGTGGCCACCAACAAACCCGAAATGGTATCAACCGATATCCCGGTTAAGGATGAATAGCCAAGACCCGCAATCTTTGTTACACCGCATTCATGTAAATATATTATATAGATTTCTACAGTTGTCTTAATATGTATATACATATATATATATATGTATATATATATATATGTATATGTATGTATACATATATATATATAGTTTAATTGGTGGGCGCAGTGATCCCCAAAACACTGAAACCTGACTTCCACACGTCATCATTTTGGTCCATCCCAGCCTGGCGATGCTTTCGCTTTCTGACACCAAAAAGGTCCAATGTTCCTCGCTGGGTGAAACCACCATAGTTCATCATCTTTCCGCATCCAGCCCTGAACCATCAATGGATTTGTTCAAGGAAAAATCCAAGTTTTTGTATTTTCCCAGCACCTACCGTTAACCGTTAATATTGGTTGTGACTCTCAGCCCATCCACCTGGTTACATACTGCAACCATCTACAAATTGTCTGTACAATTGAGCAAAACCACTGCCGCAGAGGGTTCTATGCCATGGGCTTCCCCTTTGGATATCCATGAGTTGAAAGTCCTGGCCTTTCAAATCTCCGGAACCTATATCAGCACAAGCCACACGAATGAACTTATTCGGTTTTGTCCGAACATTATGGGAAAACATCCCAAATCCTGTGAAAATGATGGGAAAACGCCCCAAATCCCGTGAAAATCATGGGAAAACGCCCCAAAACTCCGTGATTCGTCATCAGTCTTCATATGTCCTATGAAAAGAAATGGCTATTACAGTGGCTCCTGAAGCATGGTCTCGAAGCCACCATCAAGGATCCAGGCAGGAATCCTTGTTCGTTCTACGCGGAGCAGCGGGTCAAAGTGTGGATGGACGGAGTATGATATGGTCATCCCATTATGATTCGGGATTCACTGTAGTAGGTATATATATATTATATATATATAAGAATTCCTATGAATGGATTCCAATATGGGTAATTTACTATAATATAATGTAATATAATAATCAATATATATATATATATTTATTTATATATTAATTTGCCCAAGATTGGACCATGGCACATGTGACAACCATGTCAGTGATATTCAATGATTTTAAGTGTCTACGGCATAGATCATTTTTTAGGTCATGTCAGTAGTTCTGGCAGTTGGTCAATGTCTGTAATCTCCATGATTCTGGTTACCCTATGTTACCCTCTGGTAATTTAACATACTGGTAGCTATTGAAATGGCCATTTATAGTGAGTTTTCCCATTAAAAATGGTGATTTTCCATAGTTATAATATATTGTTAGTTTACCAGAGGGTACTTCCCGACGATCGGCCAAAGTGCGGACCATATTTTCGTCGGATGCCACTCTTTCGATTATCACAGCGTAGAACACGTCCACTGGCCGTGACCCAAATCTCTTGCGACCTGGTGCCAGAGCCATTGAGTATCATTGAGTAACTGATAGCTTTACCATCCTTTACCGCTCCATGTATGGAATGTTTATTGTCATGTACCGAACAAATCAGCCACATGTGGGCCATCATGTGCGTAGAAAATATATCAAGTCGTAGTAAGATTTTATATATTTTATGTCATTGAATTAAATTCTTACTCTACATGAGGTATGTTTTTTTCACGAAATTTTGGTGATCTTCATACGACTTTAAGCTGAAGTCAGGCCCAGCAACGTGTGGATGGTGCCGCCAATCACTCGTCCCCAAATCCTGAGCTGCTGCAGTTGCGCTGGATCTGTCATCCCGGCACCGCTTGGGATATGCTTCCTCTATCTGAACCGTGGCAGGATTTTGACATACCCTCCAGGAAAACTCACAAATCACTGTTCAAAAAAAAAGGACCATAATCAAAGGAAGTTTAGGGGGAGAAACTTCCGTGTTACGGACTTTTAGAATGTCAGGGAAAGAGTTAGTCAAAGAAAGAGTTAGTGAGGGAAAGAGTTAGTCAAAGAAAGAGTTAGTGAGGGAAAGAGTTAGCAAAGAAACAGTTAGTCAAAGAAAGAGTTAGTCAAAGAAACAGTTAGTCAGGGAAAGAGTTAGTTAAAGAAAGAGTTAGTCAAAGAAAGAGTTAGTCAAAGAAACAGTGAGTCAGGGAAAGAGTTAGTCAAAGAAAGAGTTAGTGAGGGAAAGAGTTAGTCAAAGAAAGAGTTAGCAAAGAAACAGTTAGTCAGGGAAAGAGTTAGTCAAAGAAAGAGTTAGTGAGGGAAAGAGTTAGTCAAAGAAAGAGTTAGTGAGGGAAAGAGTTAGTCAAAGAAAGAGTTAGTGAGGGAAAGAGTTAGTCAAAGAAAGAGTTAGCAAAGAAACAGTTAGTCAGGGAAAGAGTTAGTCAAAGAAAGAGTTAGTGAGGGAAAGAGTTAGTCAAAGAAAGAGTTAGCAGGAAAGAGTTAGTCAGGGAAGAAAGAGTTAGTCAAAGAAAGAGTTAGTCAAAGAAAGAGTTAGTCAGGGAAAGAGTTAGTCAAAGAAAGAGTTAGTGAGGGAAAGAAGTCAAAGAAAGAGTTAGTCAAAGAAAAAGTTAGTCAAAGAAAGAGTTAGTGAGGGAAAGAGTTAGTCAAAGAAAGAGTTAGTCAAAGAAAGAGTTAGTGAGGGAAAGAGTTAGTCAAAGAAAGAGTTAGTGAGGGAAAGAGTTAGTCAAAGAAAGAGTTAGCAAAGAAACAGTTAGTCAGGGAAAGAGTTAGTCAAAGAAAGAGTTAGTGAGGGAAAGAGTGAGTCACAGAAAGAGTTAGCAAAGAAATTGTTCCCTCACTGTAAATGGGATTGCAAGTGGTGCTGGTGGAGGAGTTGCCGATGGAGTTTTGAAGGAAGTCTCGCACGAAATGCGTTTTTGAGAGATAGCAGATGCACGAAACCCTATGTTTTTCCATACAAAGTCCGTCCCCGAACCTCGATGATCTACCTCTGCGGTGCGACGGGTGCGAGACGGTCTCGTGTGTGGTCGGATCATGGTCGGATATTCTCGGATCATTCTCGGATCGGTTCCGCATTGTAAATGGGGTGTCACCTGTGTTTCGTGCATTTGTGGTCGACAGAATTCCATTGTGATTTGCAACTGTAGGATCGTTCCCGCAATGTAAATGGGATTGCAAGTGGTGCTGGTGGATGAGTTGCCGATGGAATTCCATTGTGATTTGCAACTCTAGGATCGTTCCCGCACTGTAAATGGGATTGCAAGTGGTGCTGGTGGAGGAGTTGCCGATGGAGTTTTGAAGGAAGTCTCGCACGAAATGCGTTTTTGAGAGATAGCAGATGCACGAAACCCTATGTTTTTCCATACAAAGTCCGTCCCCGAACCTCGATGATCTACCTCTGCGGTGCGACGGGTGCGAGGCGGTCTCGTGTGTGGTCGGATCATGGTCGGATATTCTCGGATCATGTTCGGATCGGTTCCGCATTGTAAATGGGGTTTCACCTGTGTTTCGTGCATGTGTGGTCGACAGAATTCCATTGTGATTTGCAACTGTAGGATCGTTCCCGCATTGTAAATGGGGTTGCAAGTGGTGCTGGTGGATGAGTTGCCGATGGAATTCCATTGTGATTTGCAACTCTAGGATCGTTCCCTCACTGTAAATGGGATTGCAAGTGGTGCTGGTGGAGGAGTTGCCGATGGAGTTTTGAAGGAAGTCTCCCACGAAATGCGTTTTTGAGAGATAGCAGATGCACGAAAGCCTATGTTTTTCCATACAAAGTCCGTCCCCGAACCTCGATGATCTACCTCTGCGGTGCGACGGTTGCGAGACGGTCTCGTGTGTGGTCGGATCATTCTCGGATCATGCTCGGATCATTCTCGGATCGGTTCCGCATTGTAAATGGGGTGTCACCTGTGTTTCGTGCATGGTCGACAGAATTCCATTGTGATTTGCAACTGTAGGATCGTTCCCGCATTGTAAATGGGGTTGCAAGTGGTGCTGGTGGATGAGTTGCCGATGGAATTCCATTGTGATTTGCAACTCTAGGATCGTTCCCTCACTGTAAATGGGATTGCAAGTGGTGCTGGTGGAGGAGTTGCCGATGGAGTTTTGAAGGAAGTCTCCCACGAAATGCGTTTTTGAGAGATAGCAGATGCACGAAAGCCTATGTTTTCCAATACAAAGTCCGTCCCCGAACCTCGATGATCTACCTCTGCGGTGCGACGGTTGCGAGACGGTCTCGTGTGTGGTCGGATCATTCTCGGATCATTCTCGGATCGGTTCCGCATTGTAAATGGGGTGTCACCTGTGTTTCGCGCATTTGTGGTCGACAGAATTCCATTGTGATTTGCAACTGTAGGATCGCTCCCGCATTGTAAATGGGGTTGCAAGTGGTGCTGGTGGATGAGTTGCCGATGGAATTCCATTGTGATTTGCAACTCTAGGATCGTTCCCTCACTGTAAATGGGATTGCAAGTGGTGCTGGTGGGGGAGTTGCCGATGGAGTTTTGAAGGAAGTCTCGCACGAAATGCGTTTTTGGCGCTAGTGATTTTCCTTCTAAAAATCTTTTTAAAAAGTGCTTCAAAATCGTCTTTTTTTCGCTCTGCGCATCCGGTTTTGGAGCTACAATTTCCGACGCCATTGCGCGTAGTTCTCTTGTGTTTTGCAACTCAGTCTCCGCAGATCGCATTGGAATGGCTGCGTCACGGAGTTTTGAAGGAAGTCTCGCACGAAATGCGTTTTTGGCGCTAGTGATTTTCCTTCTAAACTTGGTGCTGTTTAACTGTTGCTTGGTTGCTCTTCCTCCCTCTTCAATTTTTTTTGACGTCGCTTTCCAGCCCTCCATCTTGTTTTCCCAACATCAGCTGTACTTATTTTTAACCCACTCAATGAAACATCGGCAAACTTTGTAAGATCAGTTGTTATGAAAACAACATTTGGTTGATTTTAAATAATAATGGGTTGAAATACTAGTATGTATTTTTTTAATATTGAGAGACTTGGAAACATTTTTATGCACATATACACATACATATTTTTTTACATGACTATATTTTATATATGTCTTGGCACCTGAATATCTTCCGGAGCTGCTGCAGCTTCATTTCAAGTTCAAAGATAAGTCCGGCAAACTCCGACGACATGCCTGCAGCGGAATGGAGAGTTAATAAGGAATTTTTCTTGCTGGTTGCAGCGCTTCTGGGCTCTATCCTCCCGGGGACAACCAGCAGTGCTGAGACCCAAGACCGTTGGGAAAGCCTTCAGGAAGTTTTGCGAATGACTGCAAACGCAGTCCAGAAACTGGAGGAGAGGTCGGCGCTGTGCAAAGTAAGTTTGTTTCTTTGCGCAGCCTGGGAGACGAAGGTAAACAAAGACCTTCCCAGTTGCTTTCCTGTGGAAAACGGCCAGGTATGCCTGAGAGGCTATGTTCCGGACGAAGCTTTGGACTTGCCGCGGCTTCAAAGGAACGCGGATTTTCATTTGGGAGAGTTCGACAGAGCAGAAGGGGACTTAGCAGCTCTTATGAGCCATTGCCGTGAGAGCGGCTTTGAAGATTTGCTACAGGACATGACCATGGCTCAAAACGCTTTGGCTATGGTTGTTGATAAGCTGAGCGGCAGGTGACAGATGAGCGCAACTGAGTTGGCCGGCTCTGCGTGTCTGCGGACACTTGTCGTGTCCGCGGGCACCAATTTTGTGTCCGCGGGCACTCCGTCGTGTCTGCGGACACTCTGTGTCTGCGGACACTCCGTGTCTGCGGACACTTCGTGTCTTCGGACACTTTGTGTCTACGGACACCCCGTGTCTTCGGACACTCCGTGTCTCCGGACACTTAGTGTCTACGGACACCCCGTGTCTTCGGACACTCCGTGTCTGCGGACACACCTTTTAAGGACACTTCGTGTCTACGGACGCTTGGCAAAGCGCGCCTGCGGGTGGATGGGGAAAGCAGCTAGCAGTAGCTGCATTCTTTAAAGGCAGTAGGTATTTTTATACCCGTATGCAGCTGGCCAAAAAAAATGCACACAGACGCTTCTCATCCGTCGGCAATTCTCACGTCATTCTATGAGAAGCCAGTGTCTCAGTGAAACTTGCTTTTGAAAATTAATGTTCGGCTCCAACCTGACCAGGGAAGGGCGGTTCCCAACATGGGAACGGACAACTATCCACTTTCATTTCACATGGCAATCAATCATTTGTCGTATCCATTGAAGGGTTTTTTTTGCGCAGCCATTTGGTTCCGAAGTAAACCTAGTCAATATGGGAAAGCATCGAAGCGCCAGGCCTTCTTTGTTGCCTTCAAGGCTAGTGAGTCAGCATGTCAAATCTTGCCACACAAAAGAAGGCAAGTGCGGGCTCTGTTTCTGGCAAAAGAAAAAAAGCATCTGGCTGAAGGAGCTGAAGTCAAAGTGGCTCCATGCAGCGTTGCGAGGCAAGGTCTGTAGACTGGGCTGTTCCATCTGTTCCTTGGCTGAAGCAGGTGGTCCATGGGCTTGCTTCGAGCAAAAACCTTTAGAGGTGAGGCTTCACCACTTGAAGCGCCACGAAAGTTCCAAGGGACACCAGGAGGCCATCGCAAAACACCAAGGGGTTCAGAGCGCTGGCTTTGCGCCAGACCTGCAGCTGTTTCAAGACAGTTTGCATCGCATGCGCTCCGGCGGAAGTGCTCGTGATGGCGGAGTTTATTCTGACAAGAAGCAGCAAATCAGATGGTGCCTGGCAGAAGCGGTCATGGACAAAGGGCGCCAGATCTTGCGAGACGCTTCCGCCATCGCAGTGACGCGGGACGAGCGGAAAGGACGACTCCTCATTCGCTGGAGAGCATGCACTCCCAATCTGACATCAGCTTCTGGAGTCTTGAGCTTTCATCCTGTGGATGGGTCAGCAGAAGATCTTGCAGAAAGTACCAAGAAAGCTGTGCAAGAATACTGTCGGCTTCGCATTTGTTTGCCTCGTGGTTTTAAGGATCCGCAGCCGGGAGAGGACGACCCAGCAGCGGAAGCAAACATTAAGAACAAAACAGGCATATTAGTGACTGATGGGGCGGCTCCCGAGGTGCTCGCATCGGGCTTGCTATCTGGCCGGCGGCCATACGCCAAAAGCAGTTCGTGCGAGACATACATGGAAGGCGTGAAGGTCATCAGCCGAGATACACCACATGCAAGCACCAGGCTTCTAAAGAGGCCATTCAAAGCAAGTCCGGAATTGGACAAGCTGATGACCGAATACGTCAGCGGCACAGATTCCTTCGCACAGAAAGTCTTCCATAGCCCCATGCTGACAACCTGGTGGAAGGAATTGGTGACTGAGGACAATGACGGGCTCACCAGCATGTGTGCTGCGAAGCATCGTTTCGCGTCGTACTTCATTCCTCTTAGCCGGATTGCTCACAATTTTCCCTCGGTGGTGAAACTGTGTCAGAAGGTCGCTATCATCCGTGCATCTAGGGGAGAGTGGGCGTCTCACCTTTTGCAGCAGCTGTCTGGCAAAAAATGTTTGCTCGTGGCCATGGCTGCTGATGCCGCAGCGAGCGTGCATGAGCTGACTCGAAGTTTCGACGATGAGTCTTCGGATGTGAGTGAAACAAATGCACGCATTGAGAACTTTGCGCTGGGAATTCAAGCGCTGTTTCATTCAGAACGGGTGTTTGAATTGCCTACATTTACCAAAACGCTGTGCGATTCTTTCGCGCGGTCTCCTTTGCATTTTTTGCATCACGGCAATGTCATGGAAATTGCAATAACGGAGCACGACAAGACGTATGCGATCAAGGTGATGAAGGCGCGTTTGCTTTGTCGTCGAGTTTTTTTCTTAATTTAATTGTTATTATATTTTGTGATGGCAGGAATGGACATCCGTGACCTTGACGGTATTGGAAGCGGAATTTCCAGCTTGGCATTTGCTCAGTGCTTTCGACGTCTTTCACTTGGGTGGAAAACGGGCAGAAACGAAGCGAGGTCTTGGGCAGGAGGAAGCTTTGAAGAAGCTGGCAAAGGTGTTTCAAGTCAACGAAGTGGAGCTGCGGACACAGTTTGTTTCCATTCTTCCGACTGCCGAGGCGTTCCAGAAGAGGAGTGGCTTGGACAACCGATCCACCTGGGCTAATGCATTGAATCGCCTGAGCACAACTTCGCCAATGAGACGGAAGTATCCTGCAACCGCGCTCAGAGAGGCGTATTTGTCTGTCAAATAAGTTGTAATTTGTCAGTTTAAATATATTATTTAAATTATCATACAGCCAAGAATAAACCACCCTTCACATTTAATATAACTGACATTATACCTGCAGGTGGTGTCGCACTTCATTGCCTGGACTGCAACTAGCTCTGGCTGCGAGCAGATGTTCTCACATCTGAAGCGCAGCCCAGCTGAACTTGCGAGTTCCAAAATAGACACCGACCGAAGACTGGCAGTCGTGATTGGAAGCGATTCCCAATTTGACCACGAAGTGCTCGAGCGCGCTCGAGACATGTATGGCAAGATGCTGCGTTCTGGGCGCGCCCGGACACAACTGAGAGAAACCCGCGTAGATGCTGGACGCGCTGGCTCGCAAAAAGACGGCTCTCACAAAGGTTGGATGAGAAAGCGAAAGCAGGCGGTGGACAAGGCTGCGCAGGAAGAGGAGTTGCGAACACCACAACGACGAAGGCCTCCAGTGGAGCTGCCAGAAAGTTTGGCAAAAGAAGAGGCGAAGCAAAAGGCCTCGCTTCGAAAGCGTAAAACAGAGGCATTTCTGGAAGGCACTCTGTTAGATTCAGAAATCACAGACGATTTGAAGGACGAGGCAGAAAAAAGAAAGAAAGTCGACGAACAAAATGACCGGCAACGCTGCAAGGCATATGCGGCTATGACCAAGTCGGTCCATGTGGCTAAGCATGGATTGGCTGCGAGAAGTGCATTGCAGAACTTGCCTGTGCCTGCGTTCTTCTTGGAAGGCATCACGGACAAAACACGCTTGGAGAATCAGCTTCGCAAGGTTGGTGTAACAGCTTTTGTTCAGGCCAGGGGACATTTGACTGAGAACTGTCATTACAGCCTGTGAGTGCCATTCCTACATTTTCTTCTTTGCAATTTCTAACTTATCTCAGATCATTTGTGCAGGACATACGGCAAGCACAGCTTTTGATTGTGCCCTCTGCAGAGAATCTATCACGCACGAACAAACTGATAGCATCTCTTTTCGGTTGCGTGGTGCTCTCTGCATCGATCCTTCGGGGTCAAGCAGGCGCCAAGTTGTCCTACACTGCTGGACTTCGTCGCAAGGTGCGTGTCTTTGCAAGTGATGCATTTCAGCAGGAAGCACCTTCCCTGACGGTGGTCCTTCGCAACGTTTGCGAACGACCTGACTCCGATTGGCAAGCGGTGTCCTTTCAGGATGCGAGACGAAAGGATGGTTGGAAATGGGGCATCGTCTTGCGGGGCGCAACGGAAAACGTGCCCAAGAACAACACAAATTCCAAGAAACTGCTTTGTCTGACTGGGAACGGGTTAGTTGCCTGGGCAACGAGGGAGTTTGCCCTTCCTACGGGAAGTGGCTGGGTTCAGAGTCGTGAAGGGTGACGCGCAATGGCCGTCCGACTGACAAACACGACCCGGGGTGAAAAAATGCGTCAACATCATGAAGCATTCTTATGAAGTTCCTGAAAGTAACATTTTTACTTTGCTGCTTGTGATGCTTTTTTCCTGTCGCCGTTTGCACGGCTCAAACGTAGGTAGATGACATGCCGCCAAAAGTTCGAAAGCAATTTCTGAAGCCAGCTGCTTCTCGAGTAAACGCTGCCCATAGAGGCGCCCCACCGGTTGTGGCAGAGATCAACGCATTGCTTCAAAATTGGAAGCAGAGACTTGGACTCTGGCCCAAACCCAAAGCCGGGCAAGTTTTTTCTCTAGCTTCCGATTGCTCAGGATATGGAAGCGAATTGCTCGCTTTGCGGTTGTTGGGGCTGCAGAAAAAAGCTCAATTGATAATGACTTGTGAGAGTTGTTCCAAGAAGCGCGCATTGCACGATGTCATGGTCAAAATTTGCGGGTTTGACCCTAGTCGAGAGGATTTCCAAGATATCTTCCGGAGAGATAACGCATCGGCACCTCGCGCAGATTTGTACATCGCCGGGTACCCCTGTCCGAGCTTTTCGCGGATGGGGAAGAGGGCAGGTACAAAGGATGTACGGGGTATGGTAACCCTACAGGGCTTACTGTACATCGCTACCAAGCGTCCACGGACGCTGGTTTTGGAGCAGGTTGCTGCTTTGATGCAAGATAAACAGCATAGACAGGTGTGGACCTTTCTTCAAAAGGTTCTGACAGCCCTTGATTACACCTTTGCTTATGACATTGTCAATACAAGACACATGGGAATACCGCAGAGCCGCCCGAGACTCTACCTCTTCGCGGTATGCCGCGAATCTGTGACTGGACCCTTGTCAATGCGAACGGCAAGGGAACATCATCCTGACTTGCACACGTTCATTAACAAGAGTTTAGTTGGCAACGAGAAACTGCAATTGCCAACTTACGAACAGAAGTTGGGCAAGGCCCTTTGGCAGCAAGGATGGATCCTAGACGTTGCTGCTTCCCCGAGGTACCAGCACGCCGTGCGCAACTGCTCCCCCTGCTTGTTCAAAACGCGATGCAAGCAGGGAGGATATTATGTGCCAAAATTGTTGCGCAGACTGACTTGCCAAGAAATCTGCTCACTCCAAGGTGTGCCAGAGCAGGTTGTCACTGCTTTGCTGGAAGGTGCTAAAAGTCTTCCAAGCCGGACTGTAGAAGAAAGTGCAGGCGATGGGATGTCCATCAATGTTCTCTTCCTCGTTTTGAGGCGCTGTCTGGACGCAGCCGGTTTGACCTCTCTCGGAAGTCAACGGGATTATTGGCTCAGGTGTCCAGCCGACAAGCTGTGGCAACTTAGTGATAGCCTTTGGAAGATGCATGCATGATCTTGATTGCCGTCAACGTTTTATTCCCTTGAAATTCATGCATCGGCTAACACGCCGCAACGGCTTAAACGTCGCAACGGTTAAACGTCGCAGCTCTTACCCGGGTCTTTCCCGGTCCGGAAAAAAATGCTCCTATAGAGCCCTGGGGAAGGAGAGTGTGACTTTCGCACTCTCCTTACCCAGGTCTTTCCTGGTGCAACCCTGGGTAAGGAGAGTGTCGTTTGCAGTAACGAGAGTCTCAACGTTGCAGGGGGGCTATCCTTAAAGCAACATACGCTATCACTACCCGGGGCTTGCCTGGTATAACCCTGGGTAAGGGGAGTCTGCTTTTCGCACTCTTCTTACACGGGTCACGTCGCATGTCCCGTAGCATTTTCATTGTCCCAGTTGGTCAATTGCAATTCAATTCAATCACCCTTTCTTTCAATGAAAATTAATTCTGACACTGATGTGTTTCGATCACATATATCATCACATCATCACACTCCATACATTGAATCACAAATGATTATAATCATATTTAAACTTTATATATGTTTCGTCGCAGCCGTTTGGGTTCCCGGTGGTTCCTGCGCGCGGCTCTTCGAGGCCGGTTTCGGTTGAAGCCCGGCAGGTGTTAATAACAATTTTGTCCCCCTTTTTTTTGTTCGTCGTTGTCGTTCTCGTCGTCGTGATTTGTCGTGTCACCTTTGGCAGGTGCACAGCTCCTTTGGCATCATGGCCGTTTCCAAGGAAAGCCGCGACAAGGCGCCAGTGACGCCTGAGGGACGTCCTCGAGATCGGTCTCAGAGCGAGGAATCTCGCGATGGACCGGGCCGGGAGGAACGCGCCAGGAAAGATGACGACCCAGAGCGGCGCCATCGGGACAACGACGACGACAGACGCCGTGCAGACGACGACGACAAGCCTGAGGGCAGAGAGGCGTCTGAGGATGTCAGGGCTGCCAAGGATAAATATGGCAGCAACGTCTGTGAGACGTGTAAAAAAGAAGTCCGTGGTGGCAAAGCCGGCATGAGGCTGCACGCAGAGACCAGTAAGTTTCACTGGCAATGTGTTTACTGGCAGCGCGGCATGCCGTGGGAGCAAGCCAAAGCACGAGCCGCGCGCGAGTGAGAGAAGGCCATGTCGCCGAGCACGGTCCCCAACCGCCCGCGTCGTCGCCGTGATGATGACGACGATGGCGACCAGGGCGACCACAAATCGGCGCCCAAATTGCGAAGCCGCAGCCGCAGCCGCGGAGCTGAAAAGGGCAAGTCTCGCCGCCGGAGCCGAGACACTGAGAAGGACAAGTCTCGCACCCGGCGCGGCCGCTCTCGCTCCCCTCGCCTCCGGAAGGGAATTACCGAAGACGAGGAGAACCTGGTGCTGCGGCACGCTGCGCTGATCCAGAAGGAGCGTGCCTACCGCAAGAAAAAAAGGGAAGAAAAGAAAGCAGCTTCGGCTGCAAAGGCTCCTGCAAAGGCTCCGGCCCAAAAAAAGAAGGATGACGACGAAACGTCCGGGTCGTACGAGTACGTCACCGAGACCGAGGACGATCTGGAGGCCGGAAAAGCCAAGCAGGCTCAGCAGGCGGCTTCCGACAAAAAAAAGGAGCGCCTCAACGCAGCCAAACCCAAAGTGGCCCCAGGGCCCGTGAAGCCAGCGTCCACGGCTGCTGGCTCGTCTTCGGACGGGAAAAAGAAGGCATCGGCTTTGGCCAGCCTCTGGGAGGCTCAGGCAGCTGGCCTGCGTCAAATGTTTGACTTTTGAATTTGCTTGCGACCCTCAGCCGAGGCGAGGGCCTTGGCTGGTTACAGCCATCGCTGGCCACAGTGCCAGCAACACAGCCAAGGCTCTGGCTTTTTGGCGACGACGAGGTTTTTGTTCCTTGCGTCAGCGACGCTTGACTTGGAACGGCGATGCAAGGTGCCCAGGGCCTGACGAAAAAAGGTGTGCAGCTTGGTGTGGAAGTGTTGACGTTATGAATCATGCCAGGTCATGCCAATAGTAAACCCATCATATTTTAAATTTTGATGTTTAAATTTTGAAATCACAGTGGGATTCATGCATTTTTGGGTAAAATTATGTGTCTGCATCTTCCGCAAAAATAGTTTAAATAGTATTATTATAGGTTTTGGCTCAGGCTCGAAGTCACTATTTGTTTCTTCGGAAACATGGCTCCCAAAAATGTTTCGAGCTGGCGTCTCAACAAAGCTGAGACGGCAGAGCTGGAACAACGAGTTGCTGCCGGGGAAGATGAATCCAAAGTTAAGAGAGAACTGCAAGAAAAGAAGGCGCAAGCAAATGAAGACCGCAAGGCTGCGGCCCAAGCGGTCTCGCAAAAATGTCAGCTGCAGGCACAAGCCTTAGTCAAGGCGAAAGCAGGGCCAAAGGCAGCCGCCAAGGCGGCAGCAGCTGCTCAGTCCAACCCCCCGGGCAATGGCACTGACGAGCTGAACGACGCTGCCAACAAGTCCTATTATTGTCAAGTGCAAAGCGATATTCAGGCGATATTGGCAGAGTTTGGAGGTGAAGCGTTCCGGCAGGAATTGCCCCTGCCCATCACGGGCGCAAAGGACTCCGGGGTCCAAGACCCATTCTGCAGGACGAAGGCGTTGCAAGCGTTGGACGCAAACGCTTGTTATCGTTGTTCAATCAGCATATGGTGGGTCAGCGCCTTGCAATCGCCTACTCCTGGAGTCCCCATGAGTAGGCGACGGGTTGAGGACCTCTCCGAGTTCACCTTTGGGGCGACTGGAGAAGCAAAATTTCATAGTGACAAGATGTTGGAAATTGCCGTTTCGAGGTCTGACCTGGACACGGACAAACCAAATGGATTGCAGCTCGTCTCTCCGGAGGAAACCCTCCATGCCACCTTTTGCGGCTGCGCTCGTGCCATTCAGACGCGTGGCTTCTCCATCCTTGTTTTTATTGTATTTTGACCCCCATCAATTAATATAATAATATGACAATTTTAAATCATACTGGATGCCATGTGCCATGTTATATTATGTCATGCATCTGAGGACGAAAGGTGACCTTTCAGAAGAAGATTGGAAAGAGAAGAAAGCACGCTGGCGGGCTGTGCTCTTGTCAGTGCCGTGCACATTTTCGATCATTGCAGCACAAGATATCTGGAAGATATCTTACAACAAGAGGCAAGCTGTGCTCCAGGAGCATGAAAGCCTTTCGCGCACTGCCATGCAGGTGTCGATGGAGGTTGCACAAAAATGAAAGCCATTATGGAAGCCCAACAACCAGGCAAAGGGAAGTTCTCGGCGCAGCTCTTGGCACAGGAGTTGTTGAAAGCAGGTTTGCAACCCGTTGTGGGTGGCAGCAAGCAAGACGAAGAGGAGGCAGATGGCGGCAGCCTGACACCTACCTTTATTACCCAAGCGCTGAACGTCCACAAGTCTGTGATGAGCCAGCCCAGATGCGTGGAATTGCTCATGGACCTGGAGCATCGCTTCGGGACCCGAAGTTGTTTCACAAGCTTTCGAAGCTTAACGTCCTTGCGCAGAAACCTGCTTCAGCCAAATCTCGGATTTGGGTGTTGGAAAGTCTGCATGACTGGTTGTCTTACGGGATGATCAAAGTCGGTGACGTCAGCAAAGCAGTGTTGCAAGGTGACAGAACACATTGTGGTTTTGTCTCACTCTTTGAAGCGAAGCAAAAGGCTACCCGACTAATTCTTATAATATGAGCTCACATATTCAATGATTTCAGTGTTTTATTGTCATGTCCTTCCCCATGATCATGGTCACTGAGGTTCTCAACTACTTGCACGAAGACCTTCTTCACAAAGCAGGTGTTCTGGAGTCAGACAGATCCTTGCTGAAGGAAGCCTCAGCGGACCACGCCGCTTTCCGGTCACACAGTGGAGATGGTGGTGAAGTGACTTGGCAGGCGCGCCTGCAAAAGAGCGGCATTCTGATCTTCGAACTTCTGGAGGCCGGTGACCCTGTTGTTCAGTTCATTTGACACGACAAATTTAAATTCAAATTTAAAACTTCCTGGCCTGAGCAATCATAAATTAGTTTAAACATTGTCACCGCATCGACAATACATGCATGGCAGGACCTGGTCTATGGACGCAAATTTGACCATGGTATCCGCCAAGCTGCAAAGCTGGGCGGTACACCTGAGCAAGTTTTTGAACAGGAGCCAGTCAAAGAGGCATGGCAGGCTATCGTTCGGGAAATCGCTAAGGAGTTGGAAGAGCGCAACGCTTTGCAACGGAAAGCGGAAGAGGAGCCGAGACAGGAGGAAGAAGAGCTGGCGACAGTCCGGAAAGCACCAACCAGCTTTCCTTTGCACAGCGCCAGCTACTGGCGCGCAGTGGCAAACCAGACAGTGAGGACGTACATCACACTGGTGCCCGAGCCCAAAACGCAGGAAGGCGTTGTGACTGCCATTGAACAGTCTTCCTTGAAGTCCATTGCTGGCACTCAAGGTTCAGACTCCGTGCTGGTATTCTTAGACATGGACTCGTTAGGTGAGTCGCAAGGACCTGGTGCGTGCAAGCTATTGCGCCGGAAGTTCACGGCGGACCTCCCACTTCTGCGAAAACTCATTCAAGGGGCGATGCTCGCTCGTGGAAGTCAGAAACGTGAAAATTCGGAAGCGACTCGGGTCGTTGAAGGCGACTTAGTCATGATTCATGACGGACTGGGGCACCCAGGAGGGGTGAAGGAGGCGAAGAACATGTTTCGCCTCTCAAGTGCGAAAAAGGAAGCCGATCTTGACTCCGAAGTGAGAGAAGTTTTGATTGTTTTCGATGACGAAAGCATCAGACAGAGAAAGCAAAGAGTCAAAGGCTCCTATACATCCCACACCACTCTGCTGGTGGCCAGCGCCGCGCCTTTGGCGCAAAGCGTGCCTGAGAGGGCTTACGAGCACCATCCGGGGCACACTACATCAAATATCGTCCACGGTGTCAAGGCTCTGGCGCCGGCTGACATGTGGTTTGCAAGCAGGACTGACAATTGCAATGCCCTGTCATTAAACCCTATATGCTATAAACTCTAAACCCGCGCGCTCGCGCGCGCGTTAAACCCTAAACCCGCGCGCTCGCGCGCTCGTTAAGCCCTAAACCCGCGCGCTCGCGCGCTCGTTAAACCCTAAACCCGCGCGCTCGCGCGCTCGTTAGACCCTAAACCCGCGCGTTCGCGCGCTCGTTAAACCCTAAGCCCGCACGCTCGCGCGCTCGTTAAACCCTAAACCCGCGCGCTCGCGAAAAAACCCTGCGCCTTCCTGCGCTCGCCAAACCCTAAATCCGGGCTCTCGGCGCGCTCGTCGTTTTAAACTGTTATAATTGTGCTTGGAAGGACCGACAAGATCGCCCTGCTCACTCCGGACCGGTGTGTCGACATCACAGCTGAGGCTGCAGCAAAGGCAGGGGATGCCACCTCGGTTCCTGAGAGCATATTCAGTGCTGCGCTGCTTCCTGTCGAATTCTTTCGGGACGTGTTACGCGGACACGCGGCAAAGGGCATGTTTCTCGGCCATTGATATAATAGTTTTTTTTGTTTCCAGGTCTGTAGTTTAACTTTCTTTCCGAGCATGACAAGCCACTGTCAGGCTTGACTTGTCAGCGAGCCAGGGGTGCGCAGCTCAATCATGTCTTCTTGAAAGGCTGCCTTACGTAGGCTTTGTGCTGTCCGAACACCACGCCAAGCGCTTGGAAGTGCAACTGACGCAGTTCATTGTCGATGAAATGCAGCGTGAGGGGTCGTCACACTATCGACCAGAAGCAGCCCAAGCAACTTCGGCAGGCAATGAGAGCGCTGAGAAACATGCCTCAGGGGGCAACGTGCAGCCAAAGAAAAAGAACAAGAAACAAGAGGATGGGCAAGAGGAAACACAGCCCAAGAAGAAACCGAAGAAGACCAAGAAGGATGAGGAAGAAGAAGCCGGAGGAGAAGAAAATGAGGGAGAAGAAACCGGAGAGAACAAATCTCCGCTGCCTTGGTAGGTTACTCCGAGCCTTGGTGAGATCCGGGCGCAGCTGTGTGGCTTCTGACTCTTAGCCAGTTGCAGACAAATAAATCAATCACAGTAGTTCTCATTTCGGCATTTGGCCTGACTAAGCCTCACAGACGGGCGCTGGCATCTCAGCTTTTTTAAACTTTGCTGAGAAGCAAAGGTACGTGGCAACAGGACACATATAATTTAATTATATTTATATATAATATATATTATATAATAACATATATATAATATGTATAACATGCTATGTTTCTTGTTTACCGCCGGTTTTCAAATAGCTTTGATTTGATCGTTGTTTCCTTCAAAAGAATGCACCTTTGCTTTCAGAGCTTGTGCGATGACACCACTGCGGCCTGTGACAAGCCAGCAAGCGCGAAAAAAACATTGGGCACTGGAGGAGGACATGCAAGTTAGAGTGTTTGTCACTTCGGGGTTGAAGACCATCATACTGTAATAATTTAAATTTCCAATTTAGGGGCGACCATCAGTAATTCATGACCCAGTAACTTCCAAACACACCATGACCATGATCTACATTCGATGATCAGTAAGATTAAGTTTACATCGGCTGAACTTTTAAATAGCAAAAAAAAAGAAGAGGGAGGAAGAGCAACCAAGCAACAGTTAAACAGCAGCAAGGAACAGCGCTATGTGGATAAATCTGGCAATCTTTTCTAGATCTTCTGCATCGCTTCGGCCTCGAATCAATCACATCAAACTGGCAACGTTGTCTATGAACCAGAAGCCTCTGCGTCCTCGAAACTCGCCTGCACTTTTGATCAGGGCATGGGCAATCATGAGCATCTCTAATTGTGCGATTTTCTGAACTCCTTGGTCAAGCCAGTCGAAAAGTTCATCTGGAAGTGTTGCCACAACTGCCTCTTTCGGCCGTGCAGACGGGTGGCTCCACAGGATCAGGTACCCTCCTGATCCTGTGCGCTCTGCATCCTGTGCAGCGTCCGATGCCACCAGGGCACTTGAGCCAAAATAACATGGTGATTAGAAATGATCAGTGCAAACCCATGCCTTCCAACACCTGATGCACATATAGATAAGTTATTCTCACTAATTATATTCAAAATCGGTCCGTCTTGTCAATAACGTGGAAAATCTGGTTGCATGATGTTGCATGTCCGTACACTGCATGGTGTGCTCTGGCAAAGGCGTTTTGAAAGGCCAAAGCACATAAATCCTTAGCTTGTCATCCAAAGAAAAAATACCAGATTCATTCCATGTGGATAAACGTTGTTATGCGAAACGCATACTTTTGAAAAACGTAACATATGTTTTTTTTCAACATATAAAAATCATATGAAAAAAATGTTGGTATTTGCTGTCTTTAGGTAATTTTGAAACATGTAATCAAAGTCTTGGGCTCTGATTTGGAGTGTTTGGAGGTGGGTTGATGGAGAACCTTTAGAAACTTTAAAAAACTACCATGATAGCGTTTGATGCTGCACCTCTAAAAAATCCCAGACAGTTCCAACGTCCTGTTTTGAACAAAGTAGCTTCGCAAACGGGTTCCCAGTGAACCGGGCAATCCTTGGTGGCGGTCAGCTTGGTACTGAGATGCGGCGGAAGAAACCGGCCAGAGTTTTGCACAAAGAAAGTCCCAATGTGCAACAATTCTGACCACTTAGTGTCTCGGTGGTCCTGTCTCTGCAGTACTTTAAACCATGGATCGGTGTTCCTGCGTCAAAGTGTTCAGCTGGAACATTTTCTTTCTCCAGGCGATGCTCTCCTCACCGTATCACCAAGATAGAAGTGCAATGACGAACAGATTGAGGTTTCCCAAATTCATCCAAATTGTTAGTGGGTCAGTTTCATGACATATGTTCAATGGCAAAACCATGGTACAGTATCCAATGGTCCGTGCCCCTGTTTGATAAATGGTCCCGGATATACGAAAATCCACGTACGAAACCATGGTTTCCAAACCAGGTGTTAAATATTTGGGGAACGGATTATAAACAGATATAAAGGGTATATAAAGAATCTTGAAACCTGATGCATCAGATATCAATACAAAATCTAACGCTGCAAAAAAAATGCAAATTTGGTTCCTCCGTGATGTCAGTGACAATGGCACACACTTGTCCCAAAATGTAGGCCCAGCAAATGCCGGCTGTGAGCACCATTCCTCAGCTGGATGCCAGGCAGCAACAACCGCGTGTTTTTAAAGCGGGTGTAGAATAGTTTTTGTTTTTTTGCCTCAGGTTTGTTTTTTTTTGGAGATTCTTTCCCCGGTATCATTTGCCTTGTATTTGCAACAGTTTGGAACTAGAACCTGTCATTTTGCATGAAATTTTCTACATTTTGGCATGGTCACTTTGCATTCTGCATGGTATTTGCTACGTTTGGCCATGTTCGCCTTCCATTTTGCATGGTACTTGTCACATTTTGGCATTTCAACCTCTCATTTGCATGGTATTTGCTACATTTTGGTGTTTCAAATGTTCATGTGGGTCTCTTTAGGGTTCTTTAGGCTTTCATTAAGGGTTTCATTTGGGGTTTCATTTGGGGTTTCACTTAGGGTTTCTTTACAGTTTCATTTTAGGGTTTCTTTAGGGTTAGGGTTTCTTTAGAGTTTCATTTAAGGTTTATTTCCGGTTTCATGCAGGGTCTCTTATCGGGATTTCTTATCAGGAGTTCTAAACGTTCAAATGAATTTTTTTAGGGTTTCTTTAGGGTTTCGTTTAGGGTTTCATTTAGGGTTTCATTTAGGGTTTCTTTAGGGTTTCGTTTAGGGTTTCATTTAGGGTTTCATTTAGGGTGTCTTTAGGGTTCAGTTTGGGTTTCATTTAGGGTCTCATTTAAGGTTTCTTCAGGGTTTCATTTGATTTTTTTTAAGGTTTAATTTAAATTTTCTTTAGGGTTTCATTCCAAGGTTTTTTAGCAGGATTTTTTTTCACGATTTCTAAACGTTCAAGTGGGTTCCTTTAGGGTTCCTTTAGGGTTTCATTTAGGGTGTCATTTGGGGTGTCATTTAGGGTTTCTTTAGGGTTTTTTTAGGGTTTCATTTAGGGTTTCTTTAGGGTTCATTTAGGGTGTCAATTTAGGGTTTCATTTAGGGTTTCTTTAGGGTGTCAATTTAGGGTTTCAGCTAAGGTGTCAGTTAAGGTTTCATTCAATTGTTTTTTCCAGAGTGTTGTTTAAGGTTTCGTTGGGGTGTCATTTAGGGTGTCATTTAACGTCTTTTTAAGGTTTCTTTGGGATGTCATTTAGGGTGTCATTTAAAGTTTCTTTAAGGTTCCATTTATGGTTTCTTTATGGTTCTTTTAGGATTAATTTATGGTTTCTTTAGGGTTCATTTAGGGTTTCTTATCAGGATTTCTTTAGGGTTTCTTTGGGTTTCACCTAGGGTCTCTCTAGGGTTTGATTTGGGATACAAACAGAACAGAATAAAGCAAAAGAAAATGAAAAACAAAGAGGCAGTAAAGACAGGAAGCAAAGAAGCAAAGGAACAGGAACATGACAGAAGAAAAGAAAAAGTAGAATAGTAGCAGTAGAAAGGCACAGAGTACAAAAGCAGAGAAGCAGGGAAAACAGAAGCAGAAAAGCAAAGAAGCAGGAAAAGCAAAAGCAGAAAAGCAGGGAAGCAGGAAAAAACAGAGAAGCAGGGAAAGTAAAAAGCAGAAAAGCAGAAAAACAGGAAAAGCAAAGAAGCAATGTAAGCCTAGCAGAGAAGCAGAAAAACAAAAAATCAGAGAAACAGGAAAGCATAGAACCAGGAACCACCAAAAAAAAAAAACAAAACCAGCCGCGAAAAAAAAAACAATAGCCCTCTGGCCCTCCTTTTCAAGCACCTCTATGCTGATAGTAAAAACAAAAACATCATACCCACCACATACTCTCAAAAAAGGTGGACGTGCCTGCTCAAATTACAGGGGTGCATGCGAGTTCGTGCGTTCTGTGTTTTTCTTGCGCCCTGGAAAATTTGCGCGCCCGCTTGTTCATGAGCATGGTCGTTTGCGCTGCATGCGCCTGTGCGCCATTTGTGACTTTGTATGTTTTCATATGTTGTGAATGAAATTTGTTCAATCATATGCAAATAACTCGCACATACAATATGCATATATAAATAAATCTCTATAAAATCCATATATATATATATATATGTGTGTGTGTCTATAAATATATATAATATATATATAAGGGCACCCGCAGCTTGGGTATGACTTTTGACACTGACGCTGGCGACGTATTGCAACGACAGATTCCCGATAATCCCCGTCCCCCCTGACGACGCATTGTGACGACACATTGCCTGACTACGCATTACCCCCTGACGACGCATTGTTTCGACGCATTGCCTGACAACGCGTAACCCCTTGACGACGCATTACCCCCTGACCACGCATTGTGACGACACATTGCCTGACGTTGCATTACGCCTTGACGACGCATTACCCCGTGACGACGCCTTGTGACAACACATTGCCTGACAACGCATTAGCCCTTGACGACGCTTTACCCCCTGACGACGCATTGTGACGACACATGACGACGCGTTACGCCTTGACGACTCGTTACCCCCTGACGACCACTTGACGACGGATTGTGAATGATTGTGATGACACATTCCCTGACGACGCATTACCACTTGTCGACGGATTGTGATGACACATTCCCTGACGACACATTACCCCCTTGACGACGCCAAGGAATTTCATCTTGCCGATGTTACAAAACCGTTTTGGGCTCCAGGAGGGGCTCGGGGCGGAAAAAAATGGCGTCTTACGATGGTTTCAACATAGATGGCCTAAACATGGCCCCAACACAGCTGCCAAGAGGGCTCAACATGGGCCAACATAGGGCCAACACAGGCCAACATCGACCCAACATAGGCCCAATATGGGCCCAAGATGGGCCCAACATACCGCAACATGGGCCCAACTTGGCCCAACATAGGCCCAAGCTGGGCCCAACCTCGCTCAACATGGGCCCGACTTGGCGCAACATGAGCCCAAGATGGGCCCAACATAC